AGAAAATCGGAAGACTAATACTCCCCGGTCTTAAAACATTTATAAGGCCACAGTAATTAAGGTAATGTGGTAGCGGTGCAAAGATATACAAATATGTACATTTCCATTAGCAACACACTAGAGTTCCAATTTCTCTACATCCTTGCCAACACTTTTTGATAATAGCTATCATAATGGGTGTGAAGTTGCATCTCATTGTGATTTTGATTTGCGTTTCCCTAGTGATTAGGGATGTTGAGCATATTGTCATGGGCTTACTGGCCATCTGTGTATCTTGGGAGAAATGTCTACTCAAAATTTTTACTCATTTTTAAATGGTTTGTCTTTTGTTGTGAAATTGTAGAAATTCTTTACACATTCTGAATATCGGTTATCAGATGTATGATTTGCAAACACTTTCTCCCATTCTGTAGGTGCAGATTGTCTTTTCACCATTGATGATGTCCTTTGAAGCACATGTTTATAATTTTTAATGGTCCAATTTATTTTCTTCTGTTGTCTATACTTTTGGCATCCTATCCAAGAAATCATTGTCATTAACTTGAATTATAAAGCTTTCTCCACTTTTTATATTTTTAGCTTTTAATGTTTTTGTATATGGTATAAGGGTCCAATTTCATTCTCTAGCATGTGGTATCAATTTTTCCCAGTAACACTTATTGAAAACTGCCCTTTCCTCACCTCACCGACTAGTCTTGGCACCCTCATCAAGGGGGGGTGGGGTGGGGGGGTGGGGGTGTGTGTGTGTGTGTGTTTCTGGCTCTCCTATTCCATTGGTCTGTGTATCTGCATCTATGCCATTACCACGCTGCTTTGACTTCTGTAGCTTTGCAGTACGATTTCCTTTTTGCTTTTAAAATGCACTTTCTGGCTCACACTGGGTTCTTTTAATCCTTGAATGCTGCCTGGAGAGACCGGCACACTCTGTGGCATCCTAATCTATTCAGAACCCAGGACAATTGTGCCATCAGGTGCAGAGGAAAGTGCAACAAGCAGGTAAATCATTCAACATTTCTGGTTTCTTTGGAAAAGAAAAGGCACGATCTCTAGAGTAAAACCGTATGCATTTATTCAACATAAAATGAATCATTAAGATAAAATACAGTTGTCCATGTGCAGAAACATTATACATTCAATTTTGAAGAAGGTAGTTTTATACAACCAATGAAAGGAATAGTCTAAAAGTGACAGGAAATCAAGACGATAGTGAGGAGCTAAAAGGCAGAGTTTCATCTGTCAAAGTGCTAAGGCCTACGTGCACAAAGATTTTAAAGTGAACAAGACCAACATAAGGTCATTTCTTCCATTCTTATTTCTCTTGGTGCTGGTGACAGACTTAAAGTGAGATGCAGTGAGTCACAGAACAAAGATGAGTTTTTAAAAATAGGTCATAGCACTTACGGCTAAGAAAAAAAAGTTTTAATTTCTAGAGTTTCTTTTGTCATGTACTCTAGATCTTTTGTGACTCTATTTCATGAAGTATCTAAGAACATAGTTGCCCTTCAATCAGTAGTTCATTATTAGAGAACAAATAATTAGGTTCTTCCCAGACCAGAATTTATCTGCTTATGCAACAAGAGGGAAACCAAATTTGAGACTCAGGAAGAGTTCCATTAAAGCTTGTGCAGTGATTACATAAGGGTTCAGCTGGAGTCACTACTAAACTAAAAAATCGCTACTGCCTGAAAGCCTAAAATCGGAAGAACTGCTGACTCAGGATTAAAGTCCATTTCCATCATTCCCAAGCTCTAGGTTATCTGAAAACATGAGCCATGGGTCTTTTGGGAAAAAACTGACCCAAGGAACAAAATTTGATGTACCACACTTTCCACAGGAAGGACATAGGCTGGATGTAAAATAGTTCTGAAGTGGTATTTTTACACTTAATGTATTGTTTTCTTACTGGGCTAACCTGAATTTTGAATACTTAAAAAGGCCCATGATATAAGTTAATAAAATTAAGTGTTGACTAACGTTGGATTAATAGTGTTTATGAGCCAATGTCTGTGTCACTTAACACAGGTGCACAACCTGGAATCATAATCAGCGGCTAAAGCTGCCACTGAAATTCAACAGGAAACCATCCTGAGCCCACAAAGGCCTCAAATCAAATTCCATGCTCCACTCAGCAATCAACATTATCTTATGGGAACCCAAAACTTTAAAGAAAATTCAAAATTTACTTAAATCTGGCTTAAATTCAATCTTGGGTTTACCTTTCTTCTTCCCTAGGCATTCTCAAGGTTTGCAGTCAGGATGAAAATCAGATGGTTTTAAACACCCTATTGCTTCTTTCAAGTTTAAAGAACCAACAAACTGAGTTTAAAGTTGCTCTTCAGGGAGAACCCATCTACTCCCTGTCCATTTTCACAGGTGACCATCTCTGGCTCTCTTCCAGGTTGTCTGTCCTTCCTGTCAAAAGGAAATCTTTCTAGATGCCCCTTTTAGGTTAGGACTGAAAGCTGGAGGTAGAGATTCCTGATTATAGTCTCCGTGAAAGAGATTTAATTTTCTGTTTGAGGTCACCTAGTACTAGGAAAATATAGGATATATACCCTTCTATTTCTTGGACAGAGATGAGACTACATTAATGTAAGAATTAGGATTTATGCCTCTAAAGAGGGGTGGGGTTCTGCTGAAGCCTCTTGATTCAAGTTTTATAACTTAAGCGGGTCAGAAGCCAACTCTACAATATTAGAATAAAAAAAGACACTAATTATACCCATTATGGAGAAAAAAACAGGGAAACACCATTTTAGGGTTACACTTCCTTCTCACCAGACTACCAAATTAAGGTCAAGGTATGCTTTTTTTGCCCCCTTTAGCTTCCTTTGGATGATTTACCCATTTGTTATTCAGAAGGGTCCAATGAACATAAGATAAAACATCTTTATGGACATACTGACAGGAATTACTTGAAAGGTATTGCTTTCGGCCTCTTTCTTCCATTTAGACCTCGAAGAGATTTAAGTTTCCATCAACAATTCTAAGTCTTCCAATGACATGGCTCCTCACTTCCACATTTTTGTCTCATGTAGGGGCAATGGCTTTCTTTTCTTCATGGTTTGCCACTGTTTTGCGCAGTGTCTCAAATGCTTCTATTTTGTAACTCATTTACAAGTACACTTCCAACATGTCGTGGGAAGTACACAGCATGTATTACTCCTTGAGCCCTGAACTGGACACATGCTGTATGGTTACTACGATAGCAAGACCTTTCACAATTAACATGACTACTTTTGTTTACCTGTGCATACAACCAGAACTTCAGCAGTGCTTAGCACAAGAAGGTGTTCAATAAGTATTATGAATTAGTAAGTAACATGCTTTGTACACAAAAAGAGCTAGAAACATTATGCAAAATCTGATTTCTGAAGACCACTTGTGGTCAAGTACTCTCAAAAGCAATGAACACGTTTCTAAGACTGTGATGTCATAAAGTTGGGAATTCAAGTTGAAGCTGTGTTCTGGTATATTGCTCTCACACTCAACTGCAGACCAACTATAACTTTAGGCTCCTACATCATTACCTGAATTAAAAGTTTTACTTCCAGTGAGGTAGAAGGCCCATTTAAATAATGATAAATATGTACTAGAAATGGGGTAGGGGAGGTGTCTTTGTAAATGGTCATTGTGGTTCACACACATTTAAATATTTCACCTTCATTCCTATCACCTATGGGAATTATGAGAATGCATATGTTCCCTGAGACTTAAAACATTTTCTTCACAAACAGTGTATTTTCAGTAAAGATTTAGTTCTGTTCTTTTGCTTTTGTTCTGACAGCTAAACTATCTTCAATGTCTTTGGGCAACCCCAATGTCTGAAATTTCAATTTCTGAAAAATAGTAAGGCTGCCTTAAAAAAAAAAAAGGCATCTATGTATCCATATTAATTTCCAAAATATGCTTTTTATCGGTGAAAATAACCACAGGTAAGCAACTTTGGGGTGAACTAGTAAACTACAATCATCAGTTTCATGGGTCATTTAAGATAACATTCTTGAAATTCTGACCTTATTCTCTTTCAGGTTATCAAATAAATCTATGTTATTCATTGTTAAAGGGTGGGCTACATATCTTTATTTCCAATGACCATCTAGGTATGTTTGCTTCTTCAAGCATATTCTAAAACCAAGTATTTACAACCACAAAATTACCTCTCTTGGACATCAGGGTCCCAGATTATAGGGCTATGGGCAGTTAATGTCTCCTAACATCTGGCTCAGTGCTCATTTTTATAAATGCCCTTCCTAACATGAGATCAAAATCCAAGTTCACCTAGCTCTTCTACTTCTCCAGATCACTCAGGAATATAAAACTATGAAATTAATTTCTTGGAGAAAAATTGGGAAATAGAACAAAGTATTCTATGACCTTTGTGAGAATATTTCTTTACACATCCCTTGGCCTGGAAAGTGTTGGCAGTAAATGTCTGTTAATGAATTATTAACCAGTGTGGAGAAAGAAAAACCTATTTTCCCCTGAGATACTTTCTTACCGTTCTTTTAGAAGCAAACAATGAGCATATTAAACCACCAAAAAAAAATGCACCTGTCCTTTGTTTTTTGGTCTGACTTTCCCAGTGACATTAGGTGGTTAGGAGACAAGAATAGTTTAAGGGTGAAAACAGATGGACAGATTAAGAGAATTTAGTATTTTTACTATAGTTCTGAAAGAAATACATTACCCTGATTTATCACCAGATTACCCATTTTACTCCGTTCTACACAACCTGCAGTAATCTTCCAACAGTAATGTAAGGCAACAACTTGGGGACCCTTACCCACACCACTTTTAGATGTCAGATCTCAAGATTCACCAAAAACTCCAAGGTTTTTATTTTCACTTTAATTATCTTTTACTTAATAAAATGAAAAATAAGAATATATGAATACATACAATCTATATACATATATTTATTGCAAATACTTAAAATTCTTATGCAAAATGATTTTTCTATATTTGTGAAAAAATATGACTTTTTAAATGGTGTTGACACCAACTTCTCTGTACATACCCTCAATTCCAACGTTAACAATTCCTTTAAAAAGGCAACAAGACACACAAAAGTTTAGCATTTACCAAACCAGTCTGTACAAACCTTACAGCCAGAAGGAAAAATAATAGCTTGTGGTAAATAAGTCAATTTTCCTTTAAAATAAAAAATAAACTCCAAAACTATCCCCCTTATTGCATTTTTCGGAAAAAGTCTGAGTATCTTTAGAGCAACTTCCTCTGAAATCATTTGTGCCTTAACAGTGAGGTCCTACGTTAAACAGACCATATATGAGAAATTCAAAGTCTTCCACTGTCACTTTTTACATAGATATTAAAATATATATTACTTAAAATATATTACTGGAAAGCTATTTTTAAAATTGATCTTTAATAGTTGTATCAAATGTAAAGCATTAATAAAAATAAAGTAACCAAGAATCTATGAAGCTCTTAAACTTTAGGAAATGTTTTACCTATTGTTTTCTTTCAACAGGTATGTAGGTATTGAAACATGGTAGGAAAGGTCCCTGCCCATCAACATGTTTCTCAGTCTCTTTGGACTATTCTATAAATTGAGCTGAAAACTACCCTTGGCCAAGTTTTGTACTTAGCACATTGTTGTAACGCAACGGGGAGACTTTCCCCTTCTTGTCATGAAGTGAAACTCTAGGTGACAGAGTAAAACCGCCCTGGCACTGCTCACTGACATGTGTTCTAGAAATAAATAGCAGTGTAATGACCAGAGAAGACCCCCTCATTACAACAAATCATTTCACCCAGGAGTTTTTTAAAGGGCTCTAAGGCAGAGAATGGCAATAATAAGCAATTAGGATGATGACTGTCAGGTCATTAGTATGTATGAATTTACACCTTCACCTGGAAGGCAATGAGGTCGACCTTTGGCTATTTAAATAATTTCCAAAAACTACTACATCTGTGTGCCCATAAAAGTATGCTTCCCCTACCCCAAGAAAAATGACACGCTAGTCAGACCTTACTCTTTAAAATGTCCCATTGGATACCAGACAGCTTCAGTATCTTGAGCACAGGAGTTAAGGAATAAAGGCAGAGCAAACAACTCCAGGTCATTTGGCTTTATTTTCTATTTAACTGGATGGAGAATTTTAGTCAAAATTCTTTGAGATTTAAGATTCAGGAAGCCTTCTCTACTAGGCAACACACAACAGTCACGAGCGACACGGAGACGATGTGCTGTTACCCGGCCTCCCAGCGGCGGCAGCAACCTGCAGGGGAGGCATCTGAGGCACACCCCGAGGCCTCAGCATGAGGCGTGACACTGGGCTAGTGACTGGAAGCAGTCAGTGCAACTCAGTACCATAAAAATAAGCTTAGCACTTACTAGACTGAATTGAATAGTACAAGTAATTCTGAAAATTTAAGATAAACATTGCTTTAATGGTACTGGAGTACCACACTTTCAATGATTCTTATTCCTTCTGCCCTATTTTCAAAAAGAGCCAGTTTGTAATTTTTTCTTCCTGTTCAGCTAGTGGCTTTCCACTTGAAACCACTGTTCTGAAACAAACTGACAAATGGATTGCATTCAATTTACCACCAACCTGAGAGAACCTAACTATTCTCTCATTTGGTCAATACTGAGGCAGTGTACCTAGCTGACAATTTTAGGGGCATTCACAAACCCAAGTATTTTATTAGCTGGGTATTGTATTAATTCTTATGAAAATCTGGTGAACAGTAAATCTTACGACCATCTGCAAGAGCCTGGGTTAAGATGAACAGGCACAATATGGTTTGCCCTCTAAATGAACTTGAAAATCCCTGATGCCTTTCCTCCTTTCCTGCTTAGGCTATCCATCCTCAGCTTAAGGGAACCACAGAGGAAAAACTTTCTATTTCAGGAAAGGTGCAAAGAAGAAATGCCACTTTAATCAACCCAAATTGGTAATTGTTTAGCATGTGGTCATTTCGATAACCCTCAACAACTTCCAGCACGCAGACCAGCCCTCAGTCCCGCCACTGAAGTGGGGAGTGCAGAAGCTGAGCGTGGGAAGTTCTAACCAGCGCCTCTCCCCCAGTTACCCAGGGCACTGAAAGTTTGGGAACAGAACCATGGTTTCTGTTTCTTACTGGTTCCTGGCTGGGGAAAAACCTTATCCCCGTATCCCTGCAGCTTCCGTTTCTCTTAGCTATGTGTGTGCTGGACCAAAAAGAAACTTAGAAGGACATCATATTGTCTTGGCTGAAACACGAATAGAGATATTAACTCTCTATTTGCCTTGGGCCACCAAAAACACAGGAGAAGAAGAAAAAAGAAAAAGTGAAGTAATGAGTTTCTTATTTGAAAGGAGTTTGAAAGTACTGCAAGTAACACGGAGGGCAGAGAGGAGAGGGCAAAGCAAAGATTATTACTGCCTACTTTCTCCTAACCTGGAATGTGACTTAACAAATTTACATTGTTCTGCATGTTGTAAATATCACATCCTGAATATTAAGTACAATTACAACTGTACTAGGTTACAGTAGTATTTTTACTTTACACACTTGAAATCAATATGTAAAATGATGCACACTGACAATACCCGATTGTTTAATAATATCAAACTCTGGTAAACTGTAGACTTAATGTTCTTATAACCATGACCTAAACATATGTACTCAAAAATTCTTTAGTCACTAGATACAGGCTTAAAAACACAACAAAAAAGGAGAGTAACAAGAACAAACAACAAAGCTTCGGAGGCAATTTTCTCCTTTCTAGATGTTCCCTTAGCCATTCACTGAAGCCCCTTTACATTAGAAATTTCTAGTGCATAGACAGTAGTAATCCCAAACAGGGGACATACTTCTAAGACTGGAAAAGAGTCTGACTTGTACTGTGTATGTTTGTGCATACATGTCTTCAAAGTAACATAAGATTACTCCATACTCCTCAGATGCCTGACAGGTCAAAACAGATTTAACAGAATGGACAACTGCGGCATCAATGAGCTTTTCTACCTGCAGCAACAGCTGACTATAAAACATTAGGTAATGGGCTGAGCGAGAAGAGGCTACCTTATTTCTAATATTAAAATCCTTTCCCAAATTCCTTTATGTTCAGTTTCTGCACCTTTACTCCCCTTGCACAACAAAACACATAGTTCCAATCACCCTATCACTAACACTTTCCCGTTAATTTTATACTAGTATTTCAAACCTACTTGTAAGCTCCCCTGACTAATCTGACTACTGCTGGAACTGTTGCCCTGCCCAGGCTATGGTACCAGGAGGAGCCAGAGAGGCATACCCTTCATGGACCATATTCACTATCTGAGAACAGGGTGGTGGGATCAGGAACAGCAGGGACACACAAATTGCATGAGGAGTGCTTGGCAATAGTATTAGCTCATGGAAGCCAAGAACCAAGTCAGAACTTTCAGTTTGAAGTACTAGATGTGAAATCAATACCTTATCAAAAACCTGAACTTGGGAACACTGCATCTAAGGTACAGGAACTGAGTTAAACCCTGAATCAATATTCTTCAAAGGCCAAGTAATCCACATAAAGCCTACAGGCAGATATAGTCAGTGTGAACGGTGATTTCTCCATACCATTCGCTCATTCCTTCCTCTTCCTAGCCTCTTAGGAAAGTACAGAAGGGAGACAAGCTTCCCTTCACCATGCATGGCATTAAACTTTTCTCAGAGTCATATGAAGTAGAACATAAATTTGAATTCAAAGTAATACATTATTACCTAAACACTTGGAAAAAAATTGTTAAAACAAAATGTGACTTATGTACATGATTTTGTAAGTGCAAACTTGTCACAAATACACAAAGCCTTGCTTGACTTCGACTTACTATACAAGGTGCTCTTCCTCTAAAATGTAAGATCTGCACTCTGTATTCCTGATTAACATTTGTCTTTTGACAACTGAAGTCCACTTATATCTGTGATTTCAAAAGAACACAAAAAACACCTCATCAACCCTTCCCTTCCAGCCTCCTTTACAGTGTGTTCTCTCTCTAGTCTCTACCGAACAACAAGGCAAGAGACGCACAGTTTAGAGGGGCCAATGCAATCATCGTGGCAGAAAGCTCCACACCCCTTGCACATGATCATGGCTTTCAATCGGCAGTAGCATTTTGAAGGCGTGTCCTCTATGCTGTTCTCTTCAGGAAATGCCTGAACAGGAATGGTCTGGCCATGGCTGCTGGGATTCATAGCTTGGCTGGCAGGGATGGTAGTGACAGTTACTGAGAAGGACATGACATCATTTACGTTGCTAGACACCTGGCTACAGTCAGGCATCCCCGGTACAGCAGAGTTATGGTCCATGTCAGATGAGGTGGAGACATTGATCATGCCTCTGTAGTTCGGCCCACTCTGTGTAGGGCTCCCATAGAGCTTTGGAGTTTGCAGCGGTGGGAGGAGGAGAGGCTGATGGGTGGGGCTGTTTGCAGGTGGAGGAAGAGCAGTGGAATTGAAGAGCTCAGGGCTGCTATGCATCGTCTTACCTCTCACTGTATGAGCCATTTTCTTCTGTGCTGCTTGAATAAAATCTCTGGTGAGGGTCTTTTCATCGAATGTTTGGCCTCTAGTGAACAGATAATTCTCCTTGCCTATAGTGGTTTGCTCCTGCACTGGTGTCTCTGCCTTCACATTATTTTTAGCTAAACCATCAGTGGGTAGGATTTCTCTACTGGGGGGTCCTGAACTTGCTTCACACTTGCCAGAACTCTGGGAAGCCATGTCCTCCTTTTTCACCATGACAGATTCTTGCTCATCACCAGTACTTTCCTCATCGGTATCTTCTTCTTTGCCGCTGCTACTATCTCCTGTCGCATTTTTACAGTCTGGATATCCCATTTTCAAGGCCTCAGTGGGGCTACTTAAACAAAAACGGTCTTCAGGGTTTACTGAATGGGTCCTTCTAAAGCTCTCTGAGCCCCGGCCATAGGTGGAAATGTTAAGTAAGTAGTGACCTGCCATTGCAGGCTTCAAAGTCCTTCTGCCAGCAAAACCCAGCATGAACCGCTGGCTTGTGGAGATGTCTTCTAACTGGAAACCTGAGTGAGTTAAGTTGAACTGGGAGGGCTGCACAAATGAGAGAACATTCTGCCTCTGAATATGAACACTTTGGATGAGAGTCTGAAGGATCTGATCTTGGGTTGCTTTACTTAGTCCTTCTTGGTGTGTGTCAATGCTCGAGTCTCTTAGATCCTTACCTGAAAAGAGCTGAAGGGGTCTGGGGACCTGGGAGAGATGCTTATTTTGCAAGGTTTTACCCAGTTGCTGGATAGCTGGATGGGAAGGCCTCTCATGAACTTCCTCTCTGGTGCTGTTTTCTGTCATGTTGATGCCTATGGGCGCTCCCATCCCTATTTCCTCTTTTGGAGTCAGTGGAACAGTTTTCATTTCAACTTTGGTGAGTGGTTTAGGCAGAATTTGCTCCATGGGAACATCTTTGCCCTGGAGCAGCTGAGTGACCAAAGGATTATTAGCAGGGATACTGGAGCTTGGCCGTGAAATGGGTCCATTCATATTTGAAGAAGTCCCTGGAGGTTTAAGGCTAGATGCTGCTGGCAAAGTGCTCGAGGATGGAACTGACCCAGTAGGTGCTACGGTTACACTGACCTGGGGTATAGAAAGTTTTTCTAAAGTGGCTGCTATTAATAAAGATGTTAAAGGGGAGGAAGTCATATCCACTGAAGCCCTGGCAGTTGTCTCTGCTGAGGCTGAAGAGTTTGGTGTGTTCTTACTAGAACCTACTTTGGGCTCAACTGTGCCATCAGCTGCAAAGTGAACAGGTGAGGCACCTGAGATTAGAAGAGGACCTGTTGGAGCAGAAGGTACTTTCTCCTGCCTGCAATGACTGGGCCCTTGGGGCTGGCTAGGAGAGGCCACTGTGGCTGCTGCCCTGGTGGCATTCAGTTTCTCATTATTCAGTTTCCCTAAAGCTGGTTGGGGTGCATTAGTGTGAGCTGGTGATGGGACACTTGTGCATGCTCCGCTGATGGCAGATGTTGGAGGCACTGAGGGGGTCTGCTGTAGTTGTGCTCCAGAAACACTATGAGGCTGTGCCTGGCCTGGGATCTTGGTCTCAGATTGGGGCTGAGTCTCTGAACCACAGGGTAAAAGCTCTCTCGTACCTCCCCGGCTTCCAGTTCCTGCCAGTTCCAGTGTGGGGCCCTTTCCAGTTTCTCTGACTCTGTCTGAGTCTGGACTCCCTCCTCTAGCAGTTTTCCTTTCACCACCCTCTCCCGGACCTTGTCCACCCCCTGGGCCAGGCCCTGGAATGGTCCCTCCAACTGAGGCGGCTGCAGCAGCTGCGGCTGCAGCAGCAGCTGCTGCCCTCTGTGCTTTGACCAGCTGGGCTTTTGCTTTGATGTCTGCAAGAGTTCTGGCTCCTGTTCTGTTAGGACTAGTGATGGAGACTGGAAAACGAGCCCTGGGAGAGACCTGCGATGTAGGAAACAGCATGGGGGAGATTCTGGAGACCGGGATCTGAAAGAAGTAGGGGGGAAAAAAACCAAGAGCTTAGTTTTCATTACAACAACAACAAAACTTCATTGACACATTTTAGAGTAGGACGAACCCTACAACACCCGTGACAAAACTGGGAGGTCTCTGCTGAGAGACCAAATCATGCAGACAGCCACACAATTTTGTTTCTAGGGTCCTTCCACCTCCTCTTCTGATACCAAAGACTCTTCCCTCCCTCAATGCCCACTCCCACCACCTCAAATCCCCATGCTTCTCAACTCTCTCTTAATGTCGCGACTACTCACAATTGCTTATCATTTAAAATATAAAACCTTTCTACGGTCTCTGCATTTTCAAATGTGCATGTGAAGGAAGAAACAGAAAGAATGAAGTAGCATAAAACACAACTGCCTTTTACTGCTTTTTAGCTTTACTACCAAGGTCCCAGGAAAAAGTCTTGCTCTGTTCTATTCTGTGCGCGCCCCCTCTGCCTATTCACGTGGGAGTATGTATGTAATGTATATAATATTTACCAGTCATTCTCATCTCTGGCTGGCACTATACCTCAACTGTGGGGTTTTTGAAAAATACACATGCTCTGAGTCCTACCCAAAAATTTGCATATTTGAGCCCCCAGAGGAGGAACTGCTTATCTTAAAAGCATCTTGTGAGGTTCTGATGAATCATCAGGGTTGAAACTACCGATTTTCCCATCATAAAATATCTTATCTGGGAGAGGGTGGGGAGAATGGGTGAAAAAAGTAAAAGGATTGAGAAGTACAAACTGGTAGTTACAAAATAGTCATGGTATATATAAGGTACAGCACAAGAAATAAAAACAATAATATGATTAATAACTATGTATGGTGTCAGTTGGGTACTGGAAATATCCAGGAAGAACATTCTGTAAAGTATATGATTACCTAGCTACCATGGTGTACATCTGAAACTAATAGAAAATGATATAGAATATAAGCTGTAACTGAAAAATTTTAATTAAAAAAGAAATCTTAAAAACCAAATCTTATAACCTTACAATTTAAAGAGAATCATTATACCAATAAACTAGTTAAAAATTAAGACATATAGCCCTGGCCAATATGGCTCAGCCGACTGAGTGCTGGACCTGCGAACCAAAAGATTGCCAGTTCCATTCCCAGTCAGGGCACATGCCTGCATTGCAGACCTGGTACCCAGTGTGGGGCACACAAGAGACAACCACACATTGATGTTTCTCTCCCTCTCTCTCTCTCTAAAAATAAATAAATAAAATCTTAAAAAAAAATTAAGACATATGAAAAATACCGTATGTGAAAGGAAACTCACTCCTGTTTGAAAAATACTTTGAGAGCTACTGGAATTGATTAGAATGCATCAAGGTCCAGACGCTTCTAGTGGTTGATAGAGTTTAAAGGAACAAATAACTGTTATAGATGTTCTAGGGCATATAACTCAAAAGAAAAAAAATTAAGCCACTAAGCTTTAAGAATATGCATGTTATGTTTCTGGAACTCACTTAAAATTAAGAATAATAAAGTCAGTAAAGATTGTTCATTATTTGCAGTACCCATTTCTCAAAAGGTCTGCAGACCTAAAAAACTGATTCTCTGTTATTTCAGATGGTAAAGCTGTGAGATTCTGTGGCATTTATCACAAAATCCATATATTTGACATCATGAGATATACCTAATCTCTCTTAAAGCTGAATGTATTTTACATGTAATTGCCCACAGTATTTTAGAAGCTGTCCACAGTAAGAAAGAAGCAACTGTCATCCCTTGGCAATATCATCTAGACACAGTCACTAATACAGGGAAAATAAGATGAAACTAAAAAATTAAATACAAAAAAATAAAATCACAGCTATTTAGGAGAACTCTACACAGGGACGAACAACCGTGCATTAGAATAATCTTGAGTAACAATATACCCAACACAATAAATGATATCTACCATAATGACTGAAAATCATTAATAACATGTTGAATAATGACAATTAAAAGTAGTTAAAATGAAAAGTTTTAATACCTATTAAAACAATTTTCAGTTATTTATGTAAACCGCCCTATTACCTGTTTATGTGGAGTAAATCAGACCTTAAAACTTTCCAAGTACAAACCCACTCAAAGTTGTGTAGGCACTTATTAGTAATTTTACTGAGAAACCCTATCCTGGTAGAAAAAAGGAATTAAGATTTTTCTTTTGAAACATACACTGAATGGAAAAATTACAATGTGTGTTGGAATTTTCCATCTCTCTCTCTCTCTCTCCATACATATACATATATATGTATTTGTACACATTATATTTTAGCTATTCATGTATAACATACATAAGCACATATATTTTATACATATACATGTATATAACATTTGTCATAAAATTCAAATTTTGCTTTTCTACTTAAATTGTTTAAAAGATATTGTCTCATTATAAATTAATTTAAGCCTTGTCTCAGAAAGCAGGATTTGACATAGAATCTAAGGTAAAATTATACTTACAAAAGAAACTTTTGGTAGAAAAGACTTTTTGGGGGGAGGATGAGGAAGGAGAAGAAAGTAAAAGGAAAAAAACTAAATAGTGTTAACTTGGTCACAATGGGTTTAAGTTTTCAGGGTTGGGCCTCTTCGGATTAGCAGACTATCATGTAAATCAGCCTCTTTACAGGTGAGGAAATAAAAATGAGAGATCTTACCAAGTATCATTTAAATAAAATAAAACCTAAACTGTAGCTCATTTCTCAGGTCTGCAGATTAGTTCTGATTGACATTCATTAAATAAAGGTTTCTAATATTTTTATAAGAATAGTAAAAACAATCATCATATAAATCAGAACATCTGGCAAATCATGACAGTATGTTTATGGTAGAAAATTATCAATAAATAAGGAGAGATTCCTAAGTACTGAAACCATAAACCTTAAAAATAAAAAGCTACATAGAACACCATGCTATTAATAAGCAAAATGAAAAATAGGAGTCACATACTGCATAAAACGGGTCAAGTACTAGTAACTTAATGTTTCCAAAGGATATTTCCTGATAGAACTAACTTTGATTCGCCTAAGTTAAATTCAAAAAGGGGGGAAAGGGGAGTATTTCCATATGGCTTATTTTTCTACTTATATCCTAATGTGAATGAATACCCAGTGTGTGGGCTCATCAGACACAATGGTATTAATAAATACTATTAATAAAAAAGTATTAAGAAATTAGTAATTAAATGAAAGAACTGCAAACTGATAGTAAGCACAAACCCAAGTATTAATAAATAAACCTTTAGATCAAAAGTAAAAATGTGTTTGGGTTTTCAAATGTACACTACTGACTAGATGCAGTCTTTTATATACTGAGGTAGAGAAATTGCTGTAGGAATTTGGAAGATGTGACACACAGCAACACAAGGTTAAAATGGAAATTGTTGACATATCCTAAGCAGGAGAGCTTAACAAGACTATTTCATCTTACCAATGTCCTTCAAGTAACCAGTGATGACTTGTGGTAGACACACACCTTCCCTTTAAAAGGACGGAACTAAAGGTAGCTCTAGATCCACACAACATTAAATCAGTTATGGCAGTAAGAAAAAGGCGAAGGTACACTTAAATATCATGGCACTTGGTACAAATATATGATCTCTTAATCACGCCAATGGCCTCATGTTTATCATTATACTTATTTCCGTAAGAAAGAAACAAGAGTAGCCAGCAGGGGGAAGGGTGGAGGTGGTTTAGATGAGATATCCACATACCTTACTTATTGAAACACCAACAAAGATATGTAGGAATGCAGTTCTAAATGGCTATTAATAATTTTATTCATGTAAGACCACTGTTACAGGTATATCACATACATACATAAAACTGCTTCTGCATTAAGAAATAGTACAAATTACTTGAAATTTGGTAGGTATGACCAAAAACTTAGTGTTCAGACCATCTCTCTCTTTAAGTTCTTCCCATTCTCTTACCTTGAGAGGTGGTACTTTCCGCACTTGGATCCTGTCGCCTCTATTGAGAAAGGGCTGTGGAGAGATCTGAAATGGCTGCTGGTGCTGGCGATTCTCAGTGACACGTGGCCTTTTCTCCCAGCTCACAGGGGCCTCTTCTTGGGTGAGAGAAGATTTCCTCTTGAGGCTTTCTGGGCTGTGATCAACTAGAGTTGATGAAGGCTCTTTCATAATGGTCTCCTGTGGACTTGCTTCTATTATGGGCTTCATTATTGATTTCTCCACTCCAGGACTCTTGGGCTTGCTTGGAGACTTAACTACGGCTTCTTGACTTTCATTTTTATTAAAATTAGAAGCTGTAGTGAGATGATTCTCTTTCTCAGATTCCTGTTCAGCAGAGGCAACTGGCTTCTGTTCCAAGACATCCTCATCCTTTGGGCACTTGATGGGAAGAACGCTGCTAAGCTCATTTGGATAGCCAGCAGAGGAAAGGAGGGGCTCTGTGGATTTAGAGTTTGGCTGCACCTTATCTTGGCTTTCGTGCTCTTCTGTTCTGATGGGTGATGGCATATGCACTATTTCTTCTTTAGACTCTACCTGGGGGATTACAGGGATGATACTGATAGGAGAGGACTCTGAAGGAAGTAAGGAGTTTGGTTGCTCAGCTGGAATTTTCCTTACTTTGGGATCGCTGGGTGAAGCTGTCAATTTCTTTGAATCCTCAAGGCTCAGGCCAGAACTAAAAGGTGAAGAAAAGAAATATTCTATTTGAGAAATTGCCCATGTTATTTAAAGCATTATGAGATAATGGTATATGTCAATGCCTAGAGGAAACTAACGCATAGTAGGTATTCTTCATATAGTATCTTCATTATTACTATTAGTGAAGGTTCTGGAGCCAGAGTGCCTGGATTCAAATCATGGCTCTGATACTGACTATCCATGTGATATTAAGTAAGTGACTAGCCTTCTGTATCTGTTTCTCCAAATGTGCACTGAGGTTAATCATTCCATAGTGTTGCTATGATAATTAACTAAGTTAATGCAAGTACTTATACCAGTAGCTCAACCATGATAAAATTCAATGATGTTAATTATTATTACTTCCTGTTATAAAGGGGCCAGACTGTCTAGAGACATGCATCACAGACTACCCACAAGGGAAGTGAAAGAAGGCCGAGACCCACGCATGCTGTTATCATGGGTCTGGACTATGATTAACTGCGATCTGCAGTCCTGTAGAAAGACTAGCTCAAAAATAAGTAAGAGACTCTGAAGGGATAGTGGGAAAGTTGGCTGTCAACGTTTTCCAGAGGTTGAGAATTATAACTGAGTTTTGGAAAGCCTATTTAAATTTTCCTTGGTTAGCTTTGTAATTCTGAGATCCAGTATCTCTGAGCTATCCTAGAAGTGAAGACCAATTGGGACTTTCATAGTGTGGCCTAAGAGTTAGGCTACTCTGTAGTGGTCACTAGAGACTCCTCCTAATGTTTTAGAATACTGTTTAATAGGAAGCACTGGTGGTTCAGTAATAGAATTCTCGCCTCCCACTTGGGAGAGCTGGGTTCCATTCCCAGCCTATAGGTTCCTTTTCTGGCCTATGCATTCTAGAATACTGTTTAGCAGGCAAAAACAAGGGAGCCCTCTTTGGTTACTTCAAATAATAAACATCAAATCTCTGAGATGAAATGGACAAGGACAAAACTGAACAGAATCAAAAACATTCCTTCTAGCCCTGACTGGAGTGGCTCAGTGGGTTAGGCATCATCTGTCAAAGCAAAAGGTTGCTGGTTCAATTCCTGGTCAGGGCACATGCCTGAGTTGCAGGCCAGGTCCCCAGTTGGGGCACATGCAAGAGGCAACCAATTGATGTTTCTCTTGCACATCAATTTTTCTCTCCCTCTCTTTCTCCCTCCCTTCCCCTCTCTCTAAATAAATTTAATTTAATTTACAAAATTCCTTCTATAAAAGCTGAAAAAAAGGGCTGAAAACTGAAGGGTACAACAATTACTGTAATGCTTTATGTGGAGAAAATGAAAAATACTTATCGAATACCTGATATGTATAATGGTTTAAATGTATACACACCATCATTTCTGTGTAAGAGCTCAGCTCACACCAAGAATATAAAAAAATTAGTATATGAGACTGTTAACCTGAATAGGGATCATTTCCTAAAGGACCATGAAAGGGACAATGAACACTACTTGGAGATAAGGAAGAGAGGCAATAGTTCTCAAGCTGTGGTTATGGAGTCTTCTTAAAGGGCTGCCATTAGGCATGCAGAGGAATGAAAGGAGGCTAACAAACAAGCAGGACTCTGCGTGTTCAATCCTATTTCAAACAATACAACTCCACTGTTACCTATTTAAATGTCCCCCATTAAGCCTTCATTTGACTTTTTTATTAGAAAAGAAATGATTTAGACCACAGCCCCTTGAGAACAGGATTTATATCTTGTTTCAGATATACGAGATCTGTCCGGAAAAAGTCCAGCCACTGTTAATATAAGAACGTTTCGCACAACATCAATGTAACCTCGCAGCCAAGGAGAGTAGCCTGGAATGCACACGTGTGACAAATGATTACTTCACTGTACCTACCAGTTAGTGGGGGTGGCAGACTGCCGTTGTGTAAGCACGTGTACTATGTGGCTGTCACATTCAAAATTACTGAGCAAGTAGAGCAATGAATCTGCATCAAATTTTGCATTAAACCTGAACACTCCTCTGGCTAGAAATTATTGGGGATATTTTAGAAGGCTGCAGCTATGGGCAGCTGGTGACTGGCAGCTACATCATGACAACATGCCCACTCAAGCATCATGTCTCGTGCAGAGTTTTTTAGCAAAACATCAAATCACCCAGGTGACGCAGCCCCCCTACAGCCCAGATTTGGTGCCCTGCAACTCCTGGCTTTTCCCAAAACTAAAATCACCTTTGAAAGGGAAGAGATTTCAGACTGTCGATCAGATATCAGGAAAATACGACGGGGCAGCTGATGGCGATTGGGAGAACTGTGTGAAGTCCCAAGGTGCCTATATTGAAGGGGACTGAGGCGTCATTGTCCTATGTACAATGTTTCTTGTATCTTGTATCTTCTTCAATAAATGTCTCTATTTTTCATATTACATGGCTGGATACCTTCTGGACAGACCTCGTATATCTCCATGGGTGCCTTTTAAAGAGGAGAGGCTGTTTAATTAAACATTTGATATAACAGTCCTTATTACAGGATTCTTAAGACTCCTTAGTGATTCTGGATGTTATTACATCGAGGTATTTAAAATTAACTACTGTAAGAAATATACAAAACTTCAGTAGTCTTATATTTTACAGTTACTGAAAGAAAAGCCAATCTATTCAAAGAAAGAGACTCAAATTCAAGATAATTAAAATCCAATGGTAATGTTTTAAGAGCTAAAGATTATGATTAATCCAACTTTATGCACTTGAGATTCACAGAGAAAACATTTTCTTGGTAAAGAGGAATTGGTGAAAAAATAGAGGGAAAGTGAGGACTAGATTTTCTGGAAAGATAAGATGAAGTACCATATGGCATATAGGAATTAACAGACTCTATCTTGGTATTACCTCTGGCCATAGTAGCTTTCAAAGAATTGTTCTTTCCATGGCTCTACTTTTTTCTCCTTCTCAATCTCTTGTCGAATTCTCACCTGCATCTCAGGTGTAAATTCACCTATAATGTACCCCCCCAAAAAAGAAAAAGATATTCAATAGAAATACACTGCAACTTTTAACTATTTGTAAATCATGAAAGACTCATAAAGGAGTCAGAATACCATCCTGTGAAAGCAATATAAATTTGCCCAAATTCCTCACTGTACAGGAGTACCTAAATGCCAATAGGTGAAATAAAAATACTTGCACATCCCATGTAGTTTTCTATACATGGCTGAGGTCAACTGGGCCTCTTTCTTGGGCTTTCCCTGTAGTACCTCCCTCCCTCCTGCTCCAAACATCACAGTCCCTACAGATTTCTTTTAATATTAACCTTGAATTGTAACTGCTGTCCACTGGAAAAATACTCATGAGCTTTCAGTAAATAATGTCACTGGGCATTTTATTACTTTAAAGTTATGTTTCTCTGAGAGAACTTGTGCTTTAGGCCTTTTATCTCTAACTGCATAACGAACAGTTGTGGCCCTGATTAGAAGTATTTAAGATTCAAGCAAAAAGGCAGAAAGTTACTTTGGAGTTGTTGGTTTTCTAATTGTACCAGTCTGATGTCCTAGCAACATGACAGGTAACATGCCAAAGACCCAGCTGCACTGAATATGCCATTTATTTGCATACACTACCAACAACCTCAATCCTTTCCAGTCCATCAGCAGAAAACAGCCAATATGCCTGGTCGACCATCTTCAAACTTGTGGCTCGGCAAGGCCATTCCCTTTACACTCTAATACCCAGACACTGGGGGATTAGAGGTAGAAATGGAAGACGTGAAGTTTAAAACCTCCTGGGAGTAAGAAGAAGGAAAGGAAAAGTTTTAGAAAACTGTGGAAATCACAGTCCTGAGCATGAGGAGGAAAAGAGGAATTTCGCTGTCAGAATCCAACCCAGAATTTGTGGTCTTTTGTTGAGTCTACTGTATATAACCGAAAGAGGAATAAAAGTATTTTATGCATTGAACTCTGTTCAGATGTATACAGTTTTCAGTTTTACTGCTCAAAAAATATTATCACATGACTATAGGTATAGCAGTGACTGCTCATGAAAAAAAGACAACACTGATAATAATCAAGGCATTATTATTAATAATACCTACTTTAAAAGTGGGGAGTTGGAAGTCATAGATCCTTTATCAAATTATTCTTCAAGAAAGGCACTGGTAATAAGTATGTTAAAGTGCTATTGTGATTTTGATTCTTTCAGAAAAAAAGGATCTCTGCTCATGGAAATCTTTAAGAAAGAAAGAACCAAAGTAATCAGTGAGGGATACCTTCTACACAGAAACTGTTCTAAAAAAGGAAAACATTAAAAGGGAAAAGTCAATAATTTCAGTGAACAATATACATATTAATTAGCTGGTCAATTAACTTAATTGCCAATGGATCTGACAAAGAGTATGTAATGAATAGCATTCTTAATGTTCTCCTTAATAAATGTATTTATTCTAAAGCTTTTCACATTTCTTTTAATATAGCTAGTGGTTTTAACAATGGCTGGATATTAGGATCTCTTGGGGGAACAAGGAAGAAAAGGGAGGGAGATCCAAAGATGGAGGAGTAGGTGGAAGAAGGTACACTAATCTCCCAGACTGTAATCCCAAACTGGAATTACAACTAAAACACAGCAACCAACCTGTATAACCAGATGAAGAGAAGTCTTATGACCAAGGATATGCAGAAGCAGCCATATCAAGACCGGCAGGAAGGGCAGAGATGCAAAAAGAGCTGGCTCTCCTCCCATGGGAGGCAGCTTACTTTCCACAGGGCTATCTCACCTGCAGATCCCCCCTTAAAAGCATGGGGTCTCAACCCCAAGTCGGGCTCCCCAGCCCAAAGAGCCAGAGCCAGGAAGAGGCACCCCCCTAACATCTGGGTGTGAAAATCAGTGGGAATTCTGTCCACCAAGGAGAGAGAAGTCTGCTTAAAGGGCCAACACACAAAATCTCATTTGCAGCCATTATCCTGGGTTCCTGGCAGAGGGACGGTAGAATGGACTAAAGTCACATGAGGAGAGACTGGGGTTTGTGGCTCTAGGGAGGCAAAGGAACAGCGACCACAATACCTGTGCTGAGACATTCTCCCATACCGCAGAAGCCATTCTTCTTAATTGGAGCAGTTCCCTCCATCTGGCATCAGCCTGGAAAGCAAGAGCCTCTGGGCTATCTCACGCCACCCTGAAAAGCTTGTACCCTGTGAGAAATCAGCTGCCCAGTCCAGAGTGCAGAGGTCTGGGCAGATTCAGGGGGTGTCAGTGACTGAGTTGTGTGACTTTGAGGTGGGGGCCATTCTCTCCACTTTCCTATGAACGTGACTGGCACTTCCCCTTCATAGGAAATCTGCTAACCGCCCCCCACCCCCTGCCCCAACTCTTGGTGGCTCCAACTTGCCAAAGTCCGGCAGAATGTGGGAGAGACTGAGTTGTGTAGCTCTGAGGTGAGGGCCACTCCCCTGACCTTCCCCCATCCTGACCAGCACCTCCCCCTCACAAGAGACCCACGAGCCCCGCCTTCCTGACTCCTGGCCATGCTTCCCTGCTGAGTTCAGCCTCCCAGAAGAATCTTGGGCAGACCGAGTTATATGGTCTAGGACAGGGGCTATTTCCCCCCCGCATGCCTGATGGGTGCAGAGCCCTCGACCCTTCACACAGCCAAATCTTGGGCTGTTTGGGCCTCATAAACTCTGTTGGCCTTGCCCTGATGACTCCCTGAGACAATGCCCCAGCACAAAGGGTATGAGCACCCAGCAGGTGGCAGCTAGACTTGGTATATCTTGGTGAACATGACTCACCCCCACCTTGTGACTGAGAACCTATCTCATGCAACTCAGGTACTACCAGAGGCTCTTTCAGTGACTGAGCTTAACAGGCAGCTGGTAGGTGGAGGCATTAAGATAGAGATCTCAGGGTACCTCGAGACCTTTGCTGACCTGCACCTGAGTCTGGTGCTGGTAAAAGCCAGCCTTGGTGTGCAGCCTGGCCCTTCCTGTGCTCACCTAGGCCCAGCAAAGGCAGCCACAAACTGTGGATCACAATGTAGCTCCAAACAGGTTGCCGAGGGCCAGTCATGGGCAACATCTGACACTGGCCAGCACTAGGGTCTCTCACAAAAGGCCCCAGAACCACTACACCCAGTGGTCAGCTTCAGACAACATCACAGCAGGATCCAATTAGTTTCACAAGCAACATATACAAAGGGAGATCTCAGCAGGCACCAGATCCTGCTGAGGTAAATTTCACTTCATGTGGTCAGCACCTTCATAGCAGCTCACAGCTCTGGGCAGGGTTGATCCTCAGTCGGCTAGCCTGAGAGTCAACCCCACACACAAATGGGCCAATAGTAATCAAGACTCACAACAGGAGGGCCCACATAACGCATACAGGGGGACATTTCTGGAGGACCCAGCCCAGGTCATCAAGGAGACTACACTGGATCACACAGGACACATCCTACATAAGGCAACCGTACCAAGACTGTAGTCATAGTAGATTTACCTTATAAACAGAAAAAATACACAAAGAGGTAGACAAAGTGGGGACACAAAGAAACATGCCCCAAATGAAAGAATAGGAGATACCTCCAGAGAATAAAGCTAAATGAAGTGGCAAAACTTTATAAAGACTCATCAAGGGGAAAAAAAGAAAACTCAAATAAAATCAAAGAGAAATCTGACTCCAAAGAAATATGAAAAATTGTTAGAAAATATTACAAGCAACTACATGCCAACAAATGGGACAATCTGGACAAAATGGATAAATTCCTAGAAACAGAATCTTCTAAAACTGAATCAGGAAGAATCAGAGATTCTGAATAGACAGGTTACAACTAATGAAATTGAAGCAGTAATCAAAAATCTCCCAACAAACAAAAGTCCTGAACCAGATGGCCTCACAGGTCAATTTTCTCAAACATTCAAAGACCCAACACCTGTCCTTAAACTATTCCAAAAAGTTCAAGAGGAGGGAAGGATCCCAAACTCATTTTACAAAGCCAGCATTATCCTATTCCCAAAACCAGATAAAGACACTACAAAGAAAGAAAATTATAGGTCAATATCCCTGGTGAACATAGATGCTAGAATCCTCAACAAAACATTAGGAAACGGAATGCAGTAATACATAAAAAGATCATATGCCACAATCAAGTGGGATTTATTCCAGGGATGCAAGGTTGGTATAATATCTGCAAATCAAAAAATGGCAAACCAGTGACCACAGTCAGCAAGTCTCAGCTGCAATCTGAATTAAAATGTTCTGTCAATGAACGGTACACTTCCAATGGGTCAGTTTTACAGTATATAAACGGGTTTTAAATCAGCTGTTTTTTAAAAAGTTCTTTTTACTGTTAGTTTTATTGAGGTTAGGCAGTAATAAAGAGATTATCTCCCTGCTTACCAAACTATAATTCATAACATTGACTCTAATTCTGTACTTTACTTTTAGGAGCTTATTAAAATTTTAATTCCTAGGAATTAACCTAGATTACTGAATTAGAATCTTTAGGAATAGGGTCTAAACATATGTACTTTTTAGTTTCCCAGCTGGCTTTTAATCCTTAAAAGAAACATTGTTGGAGCCAAACCAGGTTACACAGGCTCCAGATAAAAAGCCTAACAATATATTTCATAAAAGATAGGTAGTTCTACCCCAGAGTAACATCTTATGCATTGCCTTCCAAAATTGTTCAAATACCTACCTACTGAGGCGCAGAGGTTCCAGTACTGCCCTCACAGTAGCTCCAAGTGCATACACATGCTAGGAGACATTGGTAGAACACTTACCTTCTGAGAGTCTTTCCTTCCAGCCTTGGGCTGCTGAAGTGAAGAACTCATTGTTAAGGGCTGAGCTATTTAACTTCATCAGACCATCTGGACCAACCTGGGTCAAAAAATAAGCCAAGGAAAGCTCACAAAGACAGAGAAACGTATCATGTGCAAATTTGACTTTCTTTTTAGAAAAGAATGTACATTCAGTTTTATAAAAAAACTTGACTATATCATGCCATGCTGCTTGTTATGGACATTTCTCTGTAATAATCTTTTTTTCTAAAATATTTCTTTCCTTTTGTACCTCTTTTCCCTTCTTCCTCTCCTTTATAAATCATTCCCCATTGACTACACTCACAAATTCATCTGCAGATACATAAATAGGTATTTAAAAGTTTTTGTTCTGAGAGATTATTTATTTTATAAAACTAAGGCCAAGTTACAAAAACGGCTCTAAATTTTACCTGGTTCATGTAATACGTGTGGAAATCTCTCCAAATCAACTAGCATAGTGTTAACACCTTTGTAATACTTGTGTATTCTTTCTTTTTTAAAATTCTATTTTATTGATTATGCTATTCCAGTTGCCCTAATTTTTCCCCTTTGCCCCTCCTCCACTCAGCACCCCCTACTCCCTCAGGCAATACACACATCATTATTCATGGCCATCGGTCATGAGTAGAAGTTCTTTGGCTACTCCATTTCCTATATTGTACTTTACATCCTCATGGCTATTCTGAGACTACCTATTTATACTTCTTAATCCCCTCACATCTTCTTCACCCATTCTCCCACCCCCCCACCCCCCCCACGTTGGGCAACCATCCAAACACTCTGCATATTCATAATTCTGTCTCTGATCCTGTTCGCTGAGTTTGATTTTTAGATTCAACTGTTGATAGATATGTATTTATTGCCATTTTATTGTTTTCACAGTTTTGATCTTTTTCTGAAATAAGTCCCCTTAACATTTCATGTAATAATGGTTTCGTGATGATGAACTACTTTAGTTTCTTCTTGTCTGGGAAGCTCTCTTTATCTGCCTTCTATTCTAAATTGTATCTTTGCTAGCTACAGCAATCTTGGCTGTAGGTCTCTGCATTTAATGACTTTGAATACTTACTGCCAGTCCCTTCTTGCCTGCAAAGTTTCTTCTGAGAAATCAGCTGACAGTCTTATGGAACTCTCCTGTAGGTAACTAACTGCTTTTCTCTTGCTGCTTTTAAAATCATGTCTTTATTTTTTAACCTTTGGCATTTTAATCAGGATGTGTCTTAGAGTGGGTCTCTTTGCATCCATCCTAATTGGGACCCTCTCTGCTTCCTGGGCTTTTCCATGTCTATTTCCTTCACCAAAGTAGGGAAGTTTCCTTGCATTATTTTTTCTAATATATTTCTAATTTCTTACTTTTTTTTTCCTCTTTCTGCACCCCAATGATATGAATATTGGACCTCTTGAAATTGTCCCAGAGGCTGCTTATATTATTATTTTTTTATTCTTTGTCCTTCTTGTTGTTCTGAAGGGTTGTTTTTTGCTTCCTTATGTTTCATATCATTGATTTGATTCTCAGCTTCATCCATTCTACTGTTGTTTCCCTGTAAATTATTCTTTCTTTCAATTAGTGTATCTATTTCTGACTGGGTCTTTTTTATGCTTTTGAGGTCCTCACTAGGTTCCTTGAGCATCCTTATAACCAGTGTTTTGAACTCTGCAGCTGACAGATTGCTTATCTCTATTTTGTTCAGTTCTTTTTCTGAAGTTTTTTTAATCTGTTCTTTCATTTCTGCCATGTTTCTTTGTCTCTTCATTTTAGCAGCCTCCCTGTGTTTGTTTCTATGTATTAGCTAGAGCTGCTTTAACTCAGTGTCTTGGTATGTGGCCTAATGTAGTAGGTGTCCTGCAGGGTACAGTGGCACAGCCTCCCATATCACCCATGCTGGGTACTCGAGGTGTGCCTTTGGTGTGGGCTAAGTACACTCTCTTCTTGTAGTTGAGCTTTGGTTGCTGTTAGCAGATCAGTGGAAGGTATTTACTCAGGCCAACTGCACGGATTGGCTGTGATCACATACTACCAATCTCTGCCCTCTGTGGAGGAACAGCTGTGCAGGGATAGGTGGTAGTGCTGTGTAGTTGTGCACTGGATATGCGGACCAAGGTCAGACCCCACCTGTGTTTTGCCTGGGTCCATCCTGCCTGACCTAAAAGCAATCTGAGATGGCAGCTACTTGTGCTGGGCTTGAAGATTCCCAGGTGAAGCTAAACTGTGAATCTAGGCTGGCTGCTATTCATTTGATAGGATTGAGAAAGTTATAAAGCCTGAGCCAAGACCATCCATCTATTCATATGGAAAAGCATCTTGGGTGGGCCCATAATCTGAGTGGGGCGAAGTCTCTGGGGATCTCTGAGGTAGGTCAAACAGTATTAGCCAGGTTGATGGAGTCTCAGAAAAGGCACCAGTGTGCAGGCTCTGTGGGGACAGGGTTTGGAAATGGGTCAATGGCTTATTCTTGTCTGGATACCAGTTACTTCAGTTCCTCCCTGTACGCCACTGGTGTCTTTCAAGCTGCTACCCTGGTGCTGGAGCTCAGAGGGAGTGAGTCTGAGCAGGCAAGTCCATGTTCAGTTAAGAGGAACTCCTTGGGGTTCCAGCAGTTTCTTCCACCAACTAAATCCCTTCTAGTTTTTGTAGGCAGAAATTGTGGGGACTTCCCTTCCTGGCACTGGAACCCTGGGCTGGGGAGCCTGGTGTGCAGCTAGGACTCCTCGTTCCCATGATATCCCTCCCAAAATTTTATCCACCACATATGGGTGAGGGACCAGTCTGTTCACGCCTGCACCCCTCCTACCAGACTGGATAGATGTAGTTTCTTTAATTCCATAATTAAATGGATGTCAGATTTCCATTCAACTCAATTTCTGATGGTTCTGAGTGATAGTTGTCCTATATTTTAGTTGTAATTTCCATGCTGTTGTGCAAAGAGGTGGACCATGCCTACCTATGTCACCATCTTGCCTGGAATTCTACTTGCATATTATTTTATCGTATAATGAATCTCAATTAATTTACCAATTTCTTATTTGTATATATGCTTTGTTTCCTCCTACTCAATAAAGCTTCTATAAGCAATTCTGGTAAAGGTGAATATACTAAAGTTGAACTAGTGCTTTTATTTCCATGGGAAAGTTTTTGTTTTTGTTTTAATCCTCACCTGAGGATATTTTTTCATTGCTTTTAGAGAGAGAAAAGGGGGGAGATACATATACAGAGGAAGGAGAGAGAGAGACATTGACTGGTTGCCTTCCTGGATACACCATGACTAGGATCGAACCCACAACCTGAGTATGTGCTCTCACTGTGAAATGAACCCACACCTTTTGGTCTACTCCATTTGGAGCGATGGACAGAGAGATATATCAATTTGTTGTTCTACTCATTTATGTATTCACTGGTTGCCTCTTTGTGCCCCATCTAGAGATCAAACCCCCAACCTTGGCCTAGTGCTCTGATGCTCTAACCAACTGAGATTCCCAGCCAGGGCCCCTTACACAGATTTTTTATACATAAAATGATGTTAATGTTCACATGAAAAAAATAATTAAAAAATTAAGAGGTGGAAATTGCCTTTTTAACTGTACCTGTAAAATACATACTGCACATACCCTGGCTGGTGTGGCTCAGTAGACTGAACACCAGCCTACAAATCAAAGGATAACCGGTTCGATTCCCGGTCAGGGCACATGCCTAGGCTGCAGGCCAGGTCCCCAGTAGCGGGGCACTCAAGAGGCAACCAAACACTGATGTTTCTCTCCCCCTCTTCCTCACACCCTTCTCTTCTCTAAAAATAAGTAAAAGCTTAAAAAAAATAAACATTGCATATAAATATATAGAACATATAACGAAGATGGTATTTCAAAATATAAGATAAAGATGGTTACATATATAGCATTGTAATGACTGGCTATCCATTCACTAGAAAATAAAGTTGAACCCAAATTTCAGGGCAATTCAAAAAAAATTCTAGATGGATTAAAAACCTAAATGTAAGTCTGAAGTCAGTAAAAGTATTTTGAAGAATATTTAGGTAACTACTTGGACATCCTGGGGATTGAGGAGCTCTTAACTCATTTATTTTCTAAATCTATCTGGGTCAACGTCATTTTCCTGTCTCTAGAGCAGGAACTGGTAAACATTTTCTGTTAAGAAATATACTGCATATATTTTAGGCTTTGCAGGCCATATAGCCTATGTTGCAAGCACTTACCTTGGCCATTGTAGCATCAAAGTAGCTACAGACAATATATAACTAATGAGAGTGGCTGCATGCCTATAAAACTTTATTTACAGAATCAGAAACTGGTCCAAGGGCTACAGTTTGTTGTACCCTAGAGAGTTAACAGAGGGGGTAACAGGTTTTCTATGAGAACAGGTCATCCAACCTTTGCTTAAATATTCCAGTGATGAACAAGTTACACCATCACACGTCAATCTGTTCCACAGTTTAACAATTCCAACTGTTTTTTTTTTTTTTAAATGTTATTTTACCCCCTAATCTGCTTTCTGGAGAAAAGAAGTTTACCTATTCCATATGACAGACCTTCAACATATTTGAAGAAAGGCATTTTTATCTACTTCCCTCCCTTTTTATTTTTTCTGGTCTAAATAATGTTTTTCTACTGTTCATTACTGGGTACTCTATATACTGAAATATGGTCTCCAATGTTTCATCCTAGTAATAACCAGAATTCTTTATGAACACTACAAATCTCATCTGACAGTGAAGTTCTATTTCATTTAATTTGAACTCCATACTCTGTATACATCAGAAGAGTATTTCTTAGATTACTGTGTGCTCCCCCCATAATAAGTGAGAGAGACAGGCCAAATGACCTCCTATTAAGAATACTCCACAGGACTGCACTCTATGGAAAACTGAGTAATACAGATACCTTTTAATTTTAAAATTGTATATAGCAATCCTTCACCTGAGAGACAAAGGCCATTAGTCAAAACACTGTTAGGAAGAACACAGTCATACATGTAGGCCCTTAGTCAGGTCCTGTGTTATTATTCCCAACCTAATAACCTGAGTCTTAAAAAAAAGAAGAGAGCAATCCCTAACAAAATACTCACTAAAACTCTGCCAAAATATCAGTCACTTAAATTGTTCTAAGCAAGAACTGGGCATCTGCAAGGCTACAGTTTCTCCAAAATGTGATAAAATGGGGAAAGCAGTGGTTGGAAAGGATCAGTTTTACTTCTTTGTCCCCCTTGCTGGTAGTGTATGTCACTTATCTGGACTCCCTGGAAATGGAATCTGACCTGCTTTTACATGTATTGATTCACAGCACTATGAAATTGGTATCAATTAGGTCTACTAGAGATGTGATACTCAGAATTAGAAAAATTTGGTTTTGACTTTATAGTCCATTAATTATAATGATTTTGTGTAGCTTACTTATTCTCTACTAACTTCTTATAATAAACAAAGGAATATATATACTTCTAACTGTAAACTAGGAAAACCACCTTTCTCTCATCTTGTTTTTATGATTAGAAAGACGGGAGGGGACAATCAGATTACTTAGAAAATAGTAGGTTCTAGGAATAATAATGAATTAAAAAAAATTTCAAAATTGAATAAATCTTAATGAAAATCATAATGGTCCCACCTTCCTTTCACAGGAGGAAACAGAGGATAAGAAGGGGAAGAACTTGCTAGTCACTCCTTCCTTGGTGAAAGCCCATGCCTCAGGTCTCTACCTCATTCCTGACCAAGTGAAATTTCTCCAATCCCTGCCGACACTGTTTCCAAACCTTTGGTATTTCTTCTAGCTACCTTTTTTCTTTTTAAGTGTAACTTTATTGGGTTTTTAAAGTTCTTTATTATAAAAGCAATAAATATTTTTTTGAAAAATTTAACGAGAAAATAACATTTTAAACACTTCAAAAAAGATCCATTAAAAACATCTGTTTAATGCCTTAAACAAGACAACTATTCCTCATGAACTGTACTCTATGGATGCCTACATCCTACTATGATAGACCCAAAACAAATTCTGTTCTATTGGGTTAAACAAAAAGTTCATTTAGTTTGTCCCACATGACGGCTCCATTAGTTCTTAGTTGTCTTTAACTTCATCCAAAACAATGTTGGTAGATTATATTGCGACAGCTGTCATAATCAGCACACGTTTAAAAAAAACTTATCAAAACTGGTGAATTTTTGTGTAGCCATTGTAATACCGTAGAAGAAAATATGCAACATTTTCAGCATATTATACTGTATCATTTCAAGAAAGGTAAAAAACGCAAAAAAATAAAAAAGATTTATGCAGTGTATAGAAAAAGTGCTGTGACTGATCAAACGTATCAAAAGTGGTCTATTAAGTTTCTTGGTGCTATTGACATTTTTGCCAAATAATCCTTTGCTGTGGGGCTATCTTATGCATTGGAAGATGTTTAGCACCACCCCTGGCCTCTACCCAATAGAAGCCAATAGTGGGAGATAGGCGACATAGCAAAACACCCAAATCAATAGTTATTGGTAAAAATTAAACATGTCTTTTATTTTATGGAAACTAAAAGGACTTTTTGGCCAACCCAATATAATCTTGACATGATTTATTTTCCTTTATAAGCATTACAAGGCCAACTTAGTAAGAGCACTTAGAAAAAAAATAGTTGGTTTTTTTTTTAGTATCTTTCATACCACTTCTTTATAGGTACACGAAAAAGCTATTTGAAAAAACTTAAGGAGTTCTAAAGTAAGTGAGTGAAGGAAGCTTCAGAAGGGTTAGAAAGCTGCTTATGTTTGAAATCACACACCTGTCGATCCACCTCTGGAAGTAGTAAAAGCAGTCGCTGTTGGCAATCTCCAGGAAGGACGGAAAAATTGTGTTTGTTGATCAGTGCTCGAAGATTTGTATTAACAAGAATGGAGTCTGGTGTCTCAACATCAATTTCAGCACATTTAGTCCTTTTCATTTGCCCTACAAGATAAAAAAAAGAATCATTTGGGCCTTTTTCACATTCCTGCTTCTATACAAACCACAGCTTGCTCTGCAAAACAAAAACAACAACAACAGAATTATAGTGTTAAGTACTTTAAATACCACACTGTGAAGAAAGTAACACTTAAGGCTTTTAGAAAGTTCTTCTAAGACTTACAAAACAAATTTTGCTCATTCACAAAGGATAAAGTAATTTATCTTCTCCACAAAAATAGAAGAAGGCCTAGAATAGCGAACCTTTTGCCATAAAAAAAAAAAAAAAAAAAGATCAGATTATTTCCCAAACAGATATGAGGACGTTTATGATAAGTAACATATACAAAATCTGTCTTAAAAAACAGAAAATTCAAATCTATATATAAATTATACCGAGGCCCTTTTTCTCTTCTTATAAAAGTTCTTTTCAACAATTTGAATTTGCATTATCTTAAATGCTATGATTAAATAGCTCATCAATTTCAGAAAATCTGTTCACAATCAGAAGGTTACAGTAAGACTGACAGATTTGAGTACACAAAAGTTTAAAATGTAAATGACAGAAATATATTTATAAACAAAAGGCTAACTTGAAAACAGTATTTGTAAGCCATGACAAAAATTTCTCCATATTAAAAGTGAATTTACCCCGGGCTGGGTGCCTTGGTTGGTTGGAGCACTGTCCCATACACTAAAATGTTACAGGTTCCATGCACATACCAGAGGCAACTGATCAATGTTTCTCTCTCACATCGATTGTCTGTTTGCTCTCTCTCTCTCTGGTCAGTGAACATATCCTCGGATGAGGACTAAAAATAAAATCTTTTAATTAAAAAAAGAAAAAGAAAACAAGAAAAACAGAAATAGGACAAAGATCACCCCCCACCAAAAAAAACAAAAACACAAAACAACAGAAACTAGTCCAAATAGATTAGCAATTACAATAAATGTAAATGGGTAAAACTCACTGAATGAGATTGTCATATTAAATTAAAAGCTTAAAAACCCAGCTAGTTCTATGCTCTGTAAAGAGATATACCTGAAACACAGAAGGACACAGAAGACTGAACAAAGATATACCAGGGAAAAAGTAGCCATAGGAAAGCTGGTGTACCTTTATTTATATCAAACAAAAGACACTTTAAGTAAAAAAAACCTCATCAGTGATTGATATGGTAAATAAAAAATGATAAAGGGTTCAATCCACCAGGAAGATTTTAAACATAAAAATATCTAATATAAGATAGTTTCAAAATATGTGAAATAAAAACTGACAAAACAGGGAGAACTGAACAAAGCCACCATTAGAATAGGAGATTTCAATATATCTCTCTCAATCATTAATAAATCAAGCATACGAAAAGCATCCCAAACAAGGGAAAAGAAGCTGTGCCATTTTTCTGATTGACTAGCTTGATCCAATTAACAGAGAATTCTTTGTTTTACAAAGAGCACTTTGAAAATTCTTTACCATCATTCTGAAAAGTGCCTCAGGAAAATAGTAGTAGTAGTAATAACAATAGTAACAGCAGAAATAAACACTTATATAGGGCCCCCAAAGTACCAGGCAATATTTTAAACATTGGTATGAGCCCTGTCTGGTGCAGCTGACTGGTTTTACTGCCAGGCTGCAAACCAAAGGGTGGCCTGTTCGATTCCCAGTCAGGGCACAAGCCTGGGTTGCAGGCCAGGTCCCGAAAAGGGGGCGCATAAGAGGCAACCACACACTGATGTTTCCCTGTTTCTCCCCATCTCTAAAAATAAATAAAATCTTTAAAAAATAACAACATAAAAAACACTGGTATGTATTAACGTATTTATTTTTCATACAACACAATGAGGTAGGAAACCACTTAAAAGATGAAGAAAGGGAGGCCCAGATATGGTAAGCAACTTGCCCAACGTTATACTATTAAGTTACAGTGCAGGAATTTGAACCAAGACATGTGGCTTCAGAGTCTCCTTTTTATCACTACATTAGATAGGCACAGGTATCATGTAGTGCATGACTTCTGATCACAGGTTAAAAGTTTGTAACAAAAACCTAAAAATCCCTATGTATTTGGAATTTTTTTTTTAATTTTTAAAACTTATAGGACAAAAGAGAATTCACGATAAAAAATTTAAAAACTTCAAACTAAATGATAATAAAAACAGTACTTGAAAGATGAAGGTAAATGTCCCTATTAAACTAGTGCCAAAATATATAAAATGTAAACTAAACATTTCTACATTTGAATCTGGGCTTCCTATCAAAAATGGCATTTTTAAAAAAGATTTTATTTATTTATTTCCAGAGAGGGGAAAAGAGAGGGAAAGAAACATAGGTTGGCTGCCTCTCACCCCCGATATGGGTCCTGACAGGCAATCAAACTGGTGACTGACCTTTTACTTTGTGGGACGATGCCCAACCCACTGAGCCATGCCGGTCAAGGCCAAAAATGGCATTTTTAATTTGAAGAAATGAAATCACTATATACACTAATCGTATTTTTTCCTTCCACTGAATATCTTCAACATCTTTCTAAACTATCACCTACAAATCCACCTCTTTCTTACAAAAAAAGCTGCACCATATTCCAACATATGTATGATTCACTTAACTGGGCCCCACTGATTATCCTATTGGTGGTTACCAGATTTTGTTTGTATAATAATGTTGTAATGGCTCTATAGACCTAAAAACAACATCCTAGTTTCCCTTTCCTATGTAACTGATAGGCTGGGAAAATCAGCATTCCTTGAATAGTTTTTATTACTGTATTTTTGCATTCACTGTGTACCTTCACATGATAATCAAATTTTAGTTAAATTTTAACTTAAGTGAAACTGAGAAGCATTTGTAAATTATTCTGATTAAATAGTGCCCTGAGGATATTTTTATGTGTCTCAAAGTGGCTCATTTTTAGAATTTAAAGTTTAAATTCTCTGATTTTGATAAAGGTGACCTTACTTTTTTTTACAGTGTAGGGTGCTTTCTTCTATTACATTATAATGAAATCTGAGTTTAGTCTTCCAATTGAATCTAGGATGTAAAAATATACGATGAAAAATTAATTTTATTGAAGACAAATTATACCAATTTTAAAATAATTTCATATAAATTATCTAATTTAGTTTTATCATGTATGTTTTACACAAAATATACAGTGTCTTCCACGTTTTGAAAATACTTATTGCAGCAAAATGTAAAAATTTCCATATTGTTTCCTCTAATGCTTATTTGCATGAAAGAAGATAAACTTTCATTTATGTTTGGCTAATAGGTCTAACTTAAATATACTATGCCTTTTTTTCTTAAAATGGTTAATATTTCCTACATTTCTATCAAAGTTGGAAATTCTCGATACATAATTTCTTAATTTTGTAAATCCACATTTCTGCTTTACTGCATAACTGAAGTTGAACATAGGCCCAAAAAGGAAGAAACTTTGTTCTGTTATTGCCACATCTGTCGGGCCCTATATCTGTGCGTGGCATGTTAGTTTACCTTCTATAAGTATTTGTTCAATAAATAAATACTTTTAATCTTGGGCAGTGGAATTAATGATTAAAGGGGGCACATTCAATTACGGCAGATACTGTCTCTGAGAAGAATACACGAATTTATAATCACACCCAGAATCAAACCAGATTTTTTACGAAGAAGTTGTCTGAAATTCTATTCTCAAACTTAATACAATAGTTTGGGATGGTCTAGAATATATAACTGAGCATAGAATAACTCTCCCTTAGAATTTTGTGGGCATTGCTGCATGACCTTTTAGCTTGTACATTGCTTCTGAAATGTCTGCCGTTCCAATTCTTGAATCTTTATATATGAATTATTATTTTTTCTCTCTCTGGAGGCTTTCTGCAAATTTTCTCATTATCCTGGATGTTTTCAAACTTCAAAAGAATGTGCCTTGGAATAGGTTTCTTTTTATTCATGTTTCTTTGACACCAATTGTGTACTTCCAACCTAAAATCTGTGGTTTTTAATTCTATGGAATGTTTTTTAAAAGACTGTATTTATTTTTAGAGAGGGGGGAAGGGAGGGAGGGTGGGAGGAAGAGAAACATCAACGTTTGGTTGCCTCTCCCACACCCCTTACTGGGGAAAAGGCCCGCAACCTAGACATGTGCGCCCTGACCCGTCATCAAACCAAGCAACCTTTCCAATGAGCCACACCCTCCAGGGCAGGAATTTTCTTTTATTATTTCTCTTATTGTTTACCTTTCTTCCAATTTCTGTTACTTCTGATAATCATACTAGTTTAACACATTAGACAGTGTAGATTAGAGTTTCAATATTCTCACCCCTTCTCCCCTTACAAAACTCTCCTTAGACCAATGTTCTGGGAAACTTTTCCACCTTTTAACCTTTTGTATTTCTACTATAATTTTTTATTTCTGCTACCACATCATTTAATATCCTAGAACTCTTTATTTTCTGATACTTAATATTGTATTCTGTTCTTTCATGGGTACAGTATCTTTCATTTTTTTCCTATGGACATAGTAGTTTTAAAAGTTGTTTTATACAGAAAGGCACACCCGAAATCTATGTAATTTTATTAACTCATGTCACCCCAATAACTTCAATAAATTGAAGTAATAGAAAATGAAAAAATAAAAGTTACGTTTTAATTTTTCCTTTCTGAACTGTTTCTTCTGAGTCTGTATTTCATATTCTATTCTTCAGGTTGGAGGTTTTTTCAAAGGTTATCCTTAGTAAGCATAATTTAAAAACAGGCACTTAAAAAGGCTGACTGAAAATTTCAGGTACAGCGGATAGGTTTTGCAGACTGGAAAGCACCAAAGAAGTGTGACCAAGGTGATCTCTGTTTCGTAGGGAATCTATAAATTTGCCTGCAGATTTTTTTCTAAGGTTATTCCATTTCTTTAGTTACCAATCCACGAATCTCCTGCTGGGGCACAACTGGGGAGGTGGAAGGAACTAGTGGTAGAAATATGCCTTTCTACTAGCATTCTGGAAGTCAAGCTCGCTGGTTTTTGAAATCTGTATGGTTTAATTTTACATCAAAATAAACCTCCTGTCTCCTACTAGGGTAAGGCATCAAATTGCTTCTTACCAACTTTTAAAGAAGGTTCTTCTTTTCAAACCTATGCCTCACCCTCTCTACTATGATACATGGTATCTCCAATTCTGGAATCTTTCTGGTATTCTACAGCCTTAGCTGGCTTGCTTACTACCGGCATCTGCTTCTCAGCTCTGTGAAAAATTTCACCCAGTTGTCATCTTTTTAAAATTGTTGACACTGCCTGCCTGCCTGTTGTTTCCTTATTTCCTTCACCCTTATGGATTTAATCTTTCGTACATCCACATTCTCATTTTAGTGGGATTCAGAGGGAACAGGAAAAACGTTCCGTTGCCGATGTTTCATTATAAGTCCATCTAATTTTCTATACAATTAAATAAAACGTAAATAATGCTGGACAAAGCAACCTATTACCAGGGGAAAAAAAAACAAAAAAAACAAAAACAACAACAAAAAAACATAACCCCAAAACACAAAATGGCTGATAGCAGATATTATTCTGAATAAAGTTTGGTAAAGGCAGGATAGGAAGAACATAAAGATAGTCAAGACCTCACAGGAGAACAATTAAGCCAGGAAGCTGATGAAATTTCGGACATAAGAGTTGATTAAGTTAATAAAAAAATAACTTTCAAAGAAATGAAGTCTTTGTAAATTAACTTACTTGTGTGGAGTCTGTCAGACCTTTGGAATGACTTCTTCCCCAAACCTAGCAAAGGATTTTCCACTTTAACTGAAGAAGCAAAGCTAGAGTTCTGCAGGCCGCTTGACTGCCCGTCAGACTGTTTTCCTTCCCATACTGCTGGGGGAAAAGAATATATAAAAGTCTGGTGACATTAAGGTTATAGATAGAAATCAATTAATCAAACAAGTAAACCATTCAACACCAAAAGTAATTACATATGAGGCAATGTGATCTTGCAAATGTGTTTTGAGTCTGAGTATTGAGCCTCAAAAAGGAAAGTGAAATCTCTTCCCTCCTCTCAGCACATTATTTGTTTCTCGTGGTAAATTTTCTTCCAAACATAAATGCAAAGTTCTGCAAGACACAGTGTAAATCTGGCAGGCACATATAATCAGCTGGCACCAAAATGAACTGTGTAATGAAACACAAAGTCTGTATCTAGACCAGTCCAGTTTAAATTAAAAACAAAACAAACAACAACAGAAAACCAAAGGCCTGTAGATATGCCCAATGGAAACTCAAAGACAGCATGTATTCTTATTCTTAGGAAAACCTTTTATTGTCAAGGGAGAGAACTGGTGAAGAGTTCAGTTTGAGAATCTTTTGGAAACACCAGCTTTCAAAGGTTACTGAAAGGCTTCCACATATTATTAGGTGAGGCATCTTGGAAGGTAAGTTAGTCATGGATCTCATTCTAACATATAAATCCCACTGATGTATTATTTTTAATAACTGCAGGATTATTTTGCATAAATTTTCCATTTACCCCTAAAACTATATAATTTTATTAACCAATGTCGACCCAATGAATTCAATTTTAAAAAAAAACCTTCCATCGAAAAAAAAACACCTCATCTGCCTACCAGGTTTGGCAGTTACGGAGTCACCGGGTGCTTTGACCGTCCTCAGCGAGAGATGCTGACTGGAGGAGATGGACATGCTTGGCCTGCATTGCTGCTGCTGCTGCTGCTGCTTCTTCTGCTGCTGCTGTTTTAGAGCCTACAAAGAGAAAACTGACTATAAGAAACAAAACGAATCAGTTTTTAGTTATAAAAAAACAGATGACTTATTTTTAAGTGGTAAAGAGCAGGCGAGTTTTTGCTATTACAAACTTTAATGCAAATATTTTTTGGTGTGTTTGTTTATGTGTGTATGTACTTTTCTAATATTAGTCCCCAAATGTCAAAATGCTTAGTTATAGGGTATGTGCATTTAAAATTTTAGTAAATATTACAAAATTTCTCTCCAAAGTAACTATAACAATTTATAATCTACTGGCAAAATACAAGTAGTCATTTCCCCACACACTCCAATGCCTGATGTAATTAAGATTTTTATACCAATCTGAGATTAAGTGTAATCTACTATTTTAATGTTTCCATAACTATTAGTGAGTTTATATTTACTGATCATTTGAATTTCAAAAAAAATCAAAAGCCAGTTCTCTGGAAAGCCTAATACTATAGACAAACCACTGGCAACTAGCACTGGGAAAAAGATACATTATAAATGAACAACATTGAAGAATAAATTAGAGATATAAAAGAATACTATGTACAACTTTATACGAATATTTGAAAAAAGTCAGGTTGAAATGGATTACTTTCTAAGAAAAATAAATTTCCAAATTTGGCTCAACAGGAGACTATCAAGAGACCAATAAAAGAAGATAAAATAAGAAATGAGGCATAGGAAAACAATTTTAAAAGGTGAGATTTACAGAATTTTCACGGAAAAAACAATTTCCTTAATTTTTTCCCCAAAACCTGGAAAAATACAGAGCTATACAATTTACTTCATGATGCTAGAACAGCCCTGATTCTAAAATTGTATGTAAATGGTCCAAAGGAAGAAAGAAAGAAAAAGAAACCCAGTAAAACCCAAGCTAAAATCTTATAAAATTCCAAAATATGTTTAAAAATACATAACAAACAGCTGTGGCTGGTGTGGTTCAGTGGACTGAGTGCCGGCCTGCAAATTGAAAGGGTGCTGGTTTGATCCCCAGTCAGGGCACAAGCCGGGGCTGTGGGCCAGGTCCCTGGCTGGGGGTGTGCAAGAGGCAACCCATCCATGTATCTCTTGAACATGGTTCTCTTTCCCCCTTTCTCTCCCCCTTTACCCTCTAAGAGTAAATAAAGAAAATCTTTAAAATATATATATATATAATATATATAACAAGCAGTTTATTTCAGAGAGCTAAGTACAGATTAACATTACAAAATCCAATTGTGGAATTCTGTATGTTACTAGATTTAAAAAGAAAAGCTACCCGATTGTCTCAATAAATCCTGAAGAAAACAAACCTGAAAAAAGCAACACCTATTCATAATTTAAAACACACACACACACACAAACCTCTTAGCAAATTAGGAACAAATGACTGTGTAATAAAAAGAATATCTTACCACAGACGTATGACACAGGTGTATAAATTATTAAATCCAAATTGGGAAAACTGCATGAAATTTCTCCTTAAAAGGACATAATGTCCTTTCAAGAAGTTTTCAATGGCTGCCAGAGTCATGCATTCTTAATGTAGCAGTTTATACTTCTGATAAACACAGACTAGCATGATTACCTGCTTTAGTGCCTTCTTGCTGTGCTTCTGTGATGGAGAAATGACTTTACCTGCTGGAATAGTGGGTGATGGGCAGGCTGACTGGGGAGAGGATGGCTGTGACAGTCTAGATGACACTAGGAGGAAAAAATGACAATGAAAAATTTGTTATCAGAGTTGGTATCAAGCACCATTCCTTCCCCAATCATATGCTGCTACCTGTATTAAGAACTGTGACCAAACACTTTTGGGAAGGATCTTCTTTTTGGAGTTCTACGGCAAACAGCCTCCCTTTTCAGTTTATTTCCTCAGAAAGCTCTAGTGAAGGATGATAGGATGGGGGAAGGGGTGGATGTTAGTATTCGTTACTTTTCATTCTTTAATTTTTCAATAGAATTGATCGAAGAAGCAGGAAGCAGAATATAAACCATTAGTCACCAAACTAGATAAAACTTAGAAGAGATTTCAGAGCCTGTCAGATGGCGTGTTCCTAAGGTCGATCTAACAACAACATGACACAGCAGAAGAAACACAGATTGACAGAATGGGTCCCAGTTTCCCTATCTTTAAAATGAAGAGAATAAGATCATTATACCTCAAAAACTCTACCAGAGCTTTAATACTGATCTTCCTACATCTCTTAAATCAACAGATTTAGGCCTAACAGTATAAGAGGACACTTGGATTCTCTAACAGAAGGAATCTAGGTCAACAAAGTGCAACTACTCTCCACTTCATTAATAGCTGTTTTATACCCCAGAACTTAGCCAAACCTTAGTCTGATGTGAATAAGGGTCTTCCCCTTTAAGAGCCTGTGTATCTTATAATAAAGAACAATTAATCTTCATGTTCTATAAAATTCAACAGTGCATTATTTTTGTAAGAGATAAACTGTTGATTCAGACCCCATAATAAGAAAAATACAATAATCACCACTACTGCTAGTGATGACTATGAAGAGGACATGTTTATTAATGCCTTCTCCTTTCATGGTAGTTGGACTGAAAAGGCTTGATAGCAAAATGGCATTCCACGATATGGACTAAAGAGCTTTAAGACAGCAAAAAAATTATGTTAGTAGGTAGCTACCTAATATGAAAATGCAGAAGCATGGTTCACTGAAGTATACAAGTTTTGGAATACTACCTTTCATCTTACTCTCAGGTATCCTAAGAAATGAATACACAGTAGATAATACTTGAAGAGGACAAGAGCAGACAAGATGGCTTATCTGCATAGCTTTAGTTCTGTTATTCCAACCCTTATGTACAATCTATATTCGGGGAGGAACTGACAAAGTATGACATTAAAAAAGTTCATTTTACTATATCACACAAAAATAAAGTTGGATAATTCTTGAGATGGTTGAGCAAGGAGAAGAAACCATATCTTTAGGGCATTTATATGCTGACAAATTTTTTAAAAATAAGAGCTTCACTGAGATATAATTTATGTAACATACAATTCACCTAACATGTAAAATCCAATGGCTTTTGATATATTTGCAAAGCTGTACGACCATCACCAGTTTTCATTACCCACTAAAAAATCCCGCATGAGTCCATTCATTGTCACTCCCCTTTCCCTAATCTACTTCCCTAGTCCTAGGCAATAGCTATCTATCTTCTGTCTCTATGCATTTGCCTATTCCAGATTTCATATAAATGGGACTGGCTTTTTTCACTTAGCATATTTCAAACATTCATCCATGTTACAGCATGTATTAATACTTTATTCCTTTTTTTAAAATTTACTATTGTTCAGTTACAGCTGTCCCTTTTCCCTCTTGCTCACCCTAATCCTGTCCCCCCACTCTAATAGTCAATCCCCCCCCCCGCCATTGTCTGTGCCCATGAGTCCTCTATTTGTTTTCCTTTGCTTGCCCCTTCCCCTTCTTTCCCGTTATCCTCCTCCCCCGCCCCGCCTCTTGTCCCAGTGAGTTCTTTACTTCCAAGTCTCTGGTTCTATTTTGCTCGTTTATTTTATTGATTAGGTTCTACTTATAGGTGAGCTCCTATGATATTTGCCTTTCACCATCTGGCTTATTTCACTTAGCATAATGCTCTCCGGTTCCATCCATGCTGTCACAAAGGGTAGGGGTTCCTTCTTTCTTTCCGCTGCGTAGTATTCCATTGTGTAAATGTAACAGTTTTTTGATCTACTCATTTACTGATGGGCTCTTTGAATGCTATTGCATTGTATGCATATGCCATGCATAAAGTAGTATTTTTTTATTTGTTAGCTGATGGTCATTTGCGTTACTTCCATCTTTTGGCCATTATGAACAATGATATGGACACGTTTTCAATCCTTTTGGGTTCATATCTAAAAGTGGAAGTGCTGGGTCTTTACTGTAACTCTCTGTTTAACTTTTTGAGAAAGTGTCAAATTGTTTAGCAAGCCCTGGCTGGTGTGGTTCAGTGGACTGAGTGCCAGTCTGTGAACCAAAGGGTCACCTGTTTGACTCCCAGTCAGGAAACATGTGTGGGTTGCAGGCCAGGTCCCCAGTAGGGGGCGCATAAGAGGCAACCACACATTGATGTTTCTCTCCCTTTCTCTCTCTCTAAAAATAAGTAAAATCTTTAAAATAAAATTGTTTACCAAAATGGACACACCATTTTAACAATTCCCCCAAAAATATATGACTTCTAATTTTTCCATATCCTTGTCAACACTTGTTATTGTCTACTTCACTGTTTTTAAAGGAACATAATGAAAATAGTTTAAAACTATTAATATCTAACTATGTTTCTTTTGTTTTTAATGGTTTGCATAAATCTGAGAATATACATTTCCTCACCTGCCTCCAATACTGCCCAAAACTAAACAGAAAACAAACCAAAATAAACGCCATTAGAGAACATAAGAATTCTACTTTGAAGCCCAGAAAAGAGAGAATAAAGATTATCTGTAATTACCACAGCAAATGTTTGGAATGCTTTCCTTTAAGGCAAAAGCCCTTTCTAACAAATTAAAACCATAAGCATATGTCAAAGCCAACTGAACTAAATATATAGACACCAGGACCCACCAGCGAAGAACACCTCCCAGAGTAGACTTAATGCCAAGTATTGGTCTCATAACTTCTATGATACTTAAGTTTTATTTTAATATTTAAGTACTGTATTAAAGACTAAGAACTACAAACAGCAAACAAGGTTTAAATGTATGTTGAGAAACCTATCTCTCATGATTCCTTTTAGTGAACACTGTCTTCAAAAACATGTAATTTTATTAATTAGAGCAATCTGTGTGAGGTTCATTTCAACAGATTTTAGGTGAACTCTCATAATTAGCCTTTTAAGATGACTGCAAGTTCTCTTTCTAACCCCACTAAATTCCTCCAATTCTACCCTCTGAAATAACTAAATAAAATACAGTTGGACTGCCATCCTTACTGATATTTTTCTACACAAATAAAAATATGAAGATTTTTAACATTTATATATAAATAAATTTTATATATTAATGTGCATATTGTGATACTAGCTAAACTTTATGGATCAGGAAATTTAATTAGCTGTCAAAGGACACAGCTAGTAAGAAGTAGAGCCAAGCTTTAAGCTTGGTATATTTTCAAATGAGTGGCTACTTATAGTTGGCTGAATGATGACCACGAAAAAATTGTTTATGTCCTAATCCCCAAACCTATAAATGTTGTTTGGGAAAGGGTGTTGGCAGATATAATTACGTTAAGGATCCTGAGAAAAGATCATCTTGGATTATCCCAGTGGGTCCTAAATCCAGTGACAAGTGTCTTTATATAGAGAGAAGACAGACACAGAAGAGAAGGCAATGCGAAAACAAGGCACAGTCAGTCAGTAACCACAGAAGCTAGAAAAGGCAAGGAACAGATCCCTCCCTCCTCTTTGAGCCATCATATGGAAAAAAACAAACTTTTTGGCCAACTCAATATAAAAAACAAGCTACTTCCATGTAAGTCTAACTCCCTTCTTTACTTACAGCAATTTTTTACTTCTCTTAGCCTATAGGAAATCATTTATATTAAACAGTTCTATTTTGGTGAAAACAGTATATATTGTAATACTTTCTTTCATTTCTTTTTTTGGTTTTGTTTTAATCTTCATCCATGGATATATTTATTTTAGAAAGAGGAAGGGAGGAAGGGAGGAAAGGAGGAAGAGGGGGTAGAAAGAAACAAATACTGATGTGAGAGAGAAACATCGACTGGTTGCCCCTTGTATGCACCACAACCAGGGATTGAACCTGCAGCCTTTTGATATATGGAACAATGCTCCACTTAACTGAACCACCCAGTCAGGGCAATTTTCTTTAAGCAAAATATCATGTGCTATAAACTGTCCACCAACTTCTTAAAACTTAATTAAGATATCCTGGGGAACATCCCACAATATAATGTAGAGGTCTTTCATGTTCCTTTTAATAGTTGCATACAATTCTACTGGGCAGATGTACCATGATTTCTTCAACTAGACTTTGATGATATTTCCATTCTTTCTGGTTTTTCACTCGTTACTGCAATGTCTTAACCTAAGGTGTTCTACTAAGACACCACCACCATCACTACCTAAAACTTTGTGGGAAATGCAAATTACTGGACCCTAGCCCAGATCTACTGAGTCAAACTCTGAAGGTAAGACCCAGGAATATGCATCGTAAGATCTGCAGGTGATAAAGCATGCTCAAGTCTGAAAAGTATTGATCTTGAGCTATGTTATGTTATTTTGCATTTTTGACAGTGTTATCTGTGGACTGATTCTTAGAAGTAGATTTGCTAAGTCAAAGGATAAAAACATGCTTCCACGTAAATAGAAAAGTTTCTTTAGAAAAGTTGCTAAAACCTATTCTCAGGTTTTAAAGGGAATTCACATGTTTCCCTTTAGTACTTGGTATCATATTTTACATTTATTATATCTTTCATTTGTTTGGCATTTATCCTGGAGTATGTCATGAGAAATAAATTCACTTTTATTTTTTTGCCTATTTAGTTGTTCCAACACTTTTGCAGGCATTGTACACAAAGGTCATGCTTAGAGTCGTTGTTGGTGCTGATGTACTTATCACAAATGTGCTATCTTTTAACTGATTGTTATCTATATATATATGATGGCTTTTTGCTGTGTGCTAATTTTACTTATTACATCCTGCTACTTTACTAAATTCTGTTATCAATTTTTATCCCTAATGAGATAAAAATTTTTAAGTTTGTTAGATAATGTGATCATCTGCACACAGAAGTAGTTTTTCCTTCCCTAGTCATTTATTTTTTTGCAGACCAGCATTAATAATCAGAGGCCCAAGATAGGCCTGACCTTGTCTTTCTGATCAATTCATCACTTCTAAGCACTGGCCCCGTGGGACTGCTCTGAGACCATGGTGCTGCTTATCACAGGGGCCTTGCTGCACAGCACCCTGAGGATGGTGCTTCACACAGGAGGGGAGGTTTTCATCTCAGGCTGGCACCACAACCCCATTAAGTGAGATCAACGTGTAGGCCGGGGGAGGGGGGGCCCAATGAGGACACAGGGGGAGGCATATTCGCCTTATACACCCCACCTGCGTTCACATTCACACATCCACTCACACATTCAGCCTGCAAGCACCCTCCATGTGACACCATGGCATAGCACACAACATTGTCACCCCAGGCCACTCTCCCTCCTGTCTCTTATTGTTCCAACTACTTTCTCTTGCTTACTTATGTTGAGAGAGATAATACCTCTAACATAATGTTATACAGGCATATCTCGGGTATATTATAAGTCAGTTCCAGACCTCAGCAATGAAGTGAGCTGCCCAAATTTTTTGGTTTCCCAGTGCATATAAAAGTTGTTTTACACTATACTGTAATTTATTAAGTGCACATCTTAAGTTTTTTTTTTAAAAAGTACGTACCTTATTTTAAGACACTTTATTCTAAAAAATGTTAACCATCATCTGATTCTTCAGCAAGTTGTAATCTTTTTGCTAGTGGAAGGTACTGCTTCAGTGTTGATGGCTGCTCACTGAACAGAGTGACAGTTGCTGAAAGCTGGGTGGCTGTGGCAATTTCTTAAAGTAAGACAACCATGCAGTTTGCTGCATCAATGGACTTTTCCTTTCATGAATGATTTCTCTGTAGCATATAATATTGTTTGACATTTTATTCACAGAACTTCAAAATTCAATCCTCTCAAGCTGTGCCTCTGCTTTATCAAGTTTATGTAATTCTAAATCTTTTTTTCTAATTTCAACAATCTTTGCCAGAAGTAGATTCCATCTCAAGAAAATACTTCCTTTGCTTCTCCATAGAAGCAACTCCTCATCCATTAAAGTTTTATCATGAGACTGCAGCAATTCAATCACATCTTCAGGCTATACTTCTAAGGCTAGTTCTCTTGCTATTTCTACCACATCTGCAGTTACTTCCTCCACTGAGGTCTTGAACGCCTCAAAATTATACAGGAGGGTTGAAATCAACTTCTTCCAAACTCCTGTTACTGTTGAAATTTTGACCCCTTCCTATATATCATAAGTGTTCTTAATAGCATCTAGAATGTTGAATCCTTTCCAAAAGACATTCTGTTCACTTTGCCCAGATCCATCAGAAGAATCACTATCTAGGTCAGCTATAAATCTATGAACAATTTATTTCTTAAATAAGACGTGAAAGTCAAAATTACTCCTTACTTCATGGGCTGCAGAAAGGATGTTGTCAGGAGGCATGAAACATTTATCTTGTTGCACATCTCCATTAGAGTGCTTAATCAAGTGTAGTGTCAATGAGCAGTCACATGTTGAAAGGAATATTTTACTGAGGAGTACATCTCAACAGTGGGCTTAAAACATTCAGAAAACTACATTGTAAACAAATGTGCCGTCATCAGGCTTTGCTGTTCCATTTACAGCACACAGGCAGAGCAGACTGAGCGTAATTCTTAAGGGCCCTATGGTTTTCGAAGTGATAAATGAGTGCTGGCTTCAACTTATAGTTACCAGCTGCATTAGCCCCTAACAAGAGAGTCAGCCTGTGCATTAAAGTCAGGCATTGACTTCTCTCTAGCTATGAAAGGCCTAGATGACATCTTCTTTCAATATAAGGCTGTTTTGCCAGCATTGAAAATCTGTTGTTTAGTATAGCCACCTTCATTAAGTCCTAGGTCTTCTGGATAACTTGCCATTGCTTCTACTGTACATCAGGCACTTGCTGCTTTACCTTGCACTTTTATGTTACAGAGACTGGTTCTTTTCTTAAACTTCATTAGCCAACCTCTGTTCGCTTCAGACTTTTTTTCTTCAGCTTCTTCACATCTCTCAGACTTGACAGAACTATAGGGCCTTGCCCTGGATTGGGCTTTGATTTAAGAAAGTGTTGTGTGTGGTTTGATCTTCCATCTAGACTACTATGACTTTTATATCTCAAATAAGGCTGTTCTACACTCTTAACATCTGTGTGTTCACTACAGTAACACTTTTGATTTCCTTCACAAACTTTTCCCTGGCATTCATAAATCTGCCTAAAGTGCTTGGTGCAAGAGACCTAGCTTTTGGCCTATCTTGGCTTTGGACATGTCTTCTTTACTAAACTTAACATTTTTAGTTTTTGATTTAAAGTGAGAGAAGTGAAACTCTTCATTTGAATATTTAAAGGTCACTGTATGGTTATTTATTGGCCTAATTTCAATATTATTGTGTCTCAGGAAATAGGGAGGCCCAAAAGAGGAAGAGAGATGGGGAATGGCCAGTTGGCAGAGCAGTCAGAACACATACAACATTTATCAGTTAAGTTCACCATCTCACATGGACAGTTTGTGGTGCCTATAAACATTACAACAGTAATGTCACAGATTAGCATAACAAATATAACAAAAAAGTCTGAAATATCTTGGGAATCACCAAAAACATGACACAGAGAGTAAATGCTGTTGGAAAAATGGCACTGATAGACTTATACAATGCAGGGTTGTCACAAACATTCCATCTGTTTAAAAAAAATATCTTTTTCTATGAAGCACAATAAAGTGAAGCACAATAAAATGAGGTATAAGAGAACTGAGAGAGTAGAATGAAAATGAATTCTTTCTATCTGTATACAAATGATTAGAACTAAACTGAACTGCCTGACTAGTGTGGCTCAATGGGTTGGGTGTCGTCCTGTGAACCAAAAGGTCACCAGTTGGATTCCAGGTCAGGGCAGGTCAGGGCACATGCCAGGTACCCAGTTGGGGGCATATGAGAGGCACCCAATCACTGTTTCTCTCACACATCAATGTTCCTCTCCCTCTCCTTCCTCTCCCTTCCCCTCTCTAAAAATAAGTAAAAATCTTTAAATAAAAAAATAAATGAACATAAACACTGTTGAGTAGAAAAACAGACCATAGCAGCTAGTATATTAACTCAAATACTAAATGGAAAAGAGGTTAAAACAAATAGAAAAAAGTTGATAAACAAAAATCTTGTTCCTCTTGGTATGTGGCTATGAAAATTTGAGTCAGCAATGTTGTCATTCTCTGATCCATATTGCGTATCTTAATTTTCCTAAGAAATTACTTTATGTACACCTACCACCTATAAATAATGGAAACTAAAACCAAAGATTAATAGTCTGATCCCAACTTCTTTCCTCTTCTTTCTTTCCCACAAATCCTGTCTTTCAATCAAATGTTTCTTCCTATGGTTTCCTGAAAACAGTGTATACACACTTGCACCTTCTTGCCTTTATGTACATTTTCTCTTCACTCTATGCCCTGTCTTCACTAGAGGTTATACTCTCACGGGAAGCAGAGCATATTAAAGTTTTCTGTATCTCACACAATACTTACTAACCCAGGTAGTTACTTTCTTCTCTAATTCTGCCATAATATGACAAATATAAAAATGTTACTTATTTGCTAATAACTGCTTATTTTTCCATACCTTTAGATATGGATGAAACCCACACCTCTTCAAATTGGTTTCCCAAATACCTGGCAAATGGTACATGATGGAAAAAGGCTGAGTGTAGCAAATTCTTGAAACAGATATTTCTTTGGTTTTATAAATAAATAATAAACCTAAATACTCAACATTATATCCTGATCTACCAGTCTTCCGATATGAATTGCTCAACAGATTAAAAAGCACTCATTTAACAACATATTAGTACCTGATCAGAAACAAAAATGCTTGCTTTCATATAACCATACAGCCACAACAAAAGAGTAACAAATTCTGGTCAAAAGACCAGCAGCTACTTATTTTTAATTTTTAAAAAACCAAAATGTCACTCCAAAAAACAAAGAGCAACCTAGTAGAGATAGCTTTAAAAAGTTTAAAATTAGGTATTTCCAGAAAAACATTTAAAATAAGTTTTAAAATCTGGTGCTCATTAAAGCTAGTTTTGCATAATTTACTGAAGTAATTTCAAGTTGTTGGTTATTTGTGTACACCCACTGAGTGTATGCTCAGAAAATACTACTTTTCAGATATATTATAGCATTGAGAATTCCTCATTTCAATGGATGGTTATTATATTGAACAAGGTCAATGGAATACGGATTATGCATATTAAATACATTTGAATTTAAAGCTTTAGTAAGTAATCAGACAATATTTTATTTTCTCCCGAAAGCATTCAAGGGCCCCTCTGAAATATTAGACTATCAGAAATAATGAAGCAGTAATATCAAAATTAAAACCTAGCTTTATATAGCTGAAGGATTAATAGTTGAAACAATGATAACCGAGGTTTCCAAAATTGGTTTAATCTTTCAAAACAGTAAACCTTCCTTAAAGGGAGAGTTCTTATTTTCACAATAGTCTTTCTGTGGAGGAATTCCATTTCCAGAAGCCTCCTCTTCCCCCAGCAAGTAGAGTCTGCTCTTAGCTGGGCAGACTATGGCTCCTGATGATATTCAGACAATTCCATAATCAAAGATGGATAGGCAATACCTGAACACCTTCCCTTGCTTCTGGGTACCCTGACTATCCAAGTCCTAAGTGTTGCCATCTTCAGCATATGACAGAGTTAAAATCTCAAACTCAGCTACCAACCCCCCAGAGGAGAAACAGAACATCTCTCCCAAAGGTCTCTCCCCACATAGGTTAACTTTGCCCACAGGAGTTTTTCTCCCCAGTATACTTTACAAAGGAGACATTACCATACATAATCATCCCCATTCAGTTACAACACATATATAAATGTCAGAGGGCAGGGAGCTCTATGGTATTTTAACTGCAAACATAGTATGTATCAAATTCCTGATTTAAAGTAGTTCTGAACAAGCAGTAAAATTAACATTAGGTCATGCTCCTGGAAAGAATTAGTTATTCTTTATAGGTGAAAAGGTGTATTTAACATAATTACTTTCTTTCTTAAGCCATTTTCAAAGCAGACCAAAATCTAACAAACTTTTCTCTATTAGAAGGTAAAAATAATACTTCTGCAGTGACTTCAGACTGCAATATCTGTATTTTATTTTGGAAAAAAGGCAAAGACTTACTTAGCTATGATAGTACCAAAAGAACAACAGAAAAAAATTGATTTTAATCATTTTTCTGGAGTCATTCCACCTTACCTTGGCTTGGAATTCCATAAAGCTCTTCTCTGAACATTGTTTCCTGTCTGAAAATTAAGAACCAAAACTACAAGCTTCTAAATTCTTCTCCTTTACAAAGAAATCAATAAACTAGTTTTAATATTGGGCTGAATTTCAAAGTTCTGTTCTCTATTTCTATTTGGCTGAAAGGTATACTTCTATCAAGAGCATTTCTATCGATTTTCAACTCGAAGTATCAGTTTTGCTGTCAGAGCTCTTTATTTTTGTACATAAAAGGAAGTGGGTTTTGATACTATCTCTATGTTCTTCCTGTCTTACAATGCATTTGAAATAACGTGATGTCAGATTGAGAGTAAAAACCCTAAATGAGAAAAGGATAGGCACAATTCGTTTGCTTTACCTTTATTAATAACTGCAACTGATTTAGAACTGCTTCGCTGCATACTGCTATCACTGCTACCTACAAGTTTTCCACTTCAATTTGTACTGGACTACAAAACCATTCATAACGATGTAATATATACCTGAAAATGTACATATCTGTGCCATATATACAACCCATGAATGAAAAACTAAAACACTCTTCATTGTTAATAGCTCAGCATTTATTCATTTAAGAATATCAGAGCTGCTACAGTAAACATGAGTTCCACATAATATCACATGCACCTCTCATCTCTACCTTCCAAATCACACCATACAGCCCATTCCACTCTCAGTTCAACAGACTACTTAAAATCAGAAAAGATCTTGATGGAACATTCCACTGTAATGTAAACCAAGGATAAATATTCAATATTGTACAATTTCTAGAAAAGGAGTGAATCAAAGGCAGTTCAAAACAATTTATCTGAACTGTAATTTTTATTTTGCTATTACCTTGCTGTTAGTATCACCTATTAATATGTTGAGTATTGGGAATTTTAATCAACCTCATAAGCTACTGACAATAGGGTTCTATTATTATTTCTTAGATCTTCCTGTATCATTATACATTTACCTTAAATTCTCAGAGATAGCCTTTAACAACCATGTAACAGCCACTACTCACTAACAGCTAATGCAGCATATGTGGCTATTGAAAAGCCAAGACCCCAAGACCGTGATTCTGTTTCCAGTTTATTAGTCCAGTCTTCTTTAATATTGATTTCCATTTCCAGCCACATCCAAACATAAAGAATCTTGCTAACTGTTCCCACAGCCTGATGACTTGGCTGGGTTCCTAATCTTAGATCAACAATTCCCATACTTAAAAGTTGAAACTAGGGAGGCACAGAGGAGAGATTTTAATATGGTCAGCTCTACCCTTCCAGAAAAGGTTCTTAGTGTGTAAGGAACATAGGCCTGGACCATACTTCCTTTCACTATTGACAGGCATTATTTTAAATATATATATATCTCAGAATACTGATCATAGCTCCTGGCTTTGTCTCAACTTTATTCCATTCAGTCCCAACATTTGAGGGCTGGGTTGCTCTCCAAGCAATTTTATACTTCAAGCTAAATTCCTCACAATCACAAAATTTGCCTAAACTGCACATATAGTAGTTATATCAGAGAACCCAGACGATGCCACCGATTATTTCAATTCTCTCCAGGAGCAGCACACACATTAACACAGGGACGATAGTAAGACACTTTTTCTGATGTAGTGCTAAACCAATAGTTCTAAAGGCACTTAAAATTAATGAGTCAAGTATTCCAAAAAACCTAACTCTAGTTTCTAGATCCAAAGATAGCTCACCTAAGTCTCAAACCTAAGAGGATATCCAAGCTAGGTAAACTCCTGGATGTCTATTTTGCTCTGGAAAATCAAATCAGAGTAAAAAAACTTTTATAAAGGGAGCATAATGAGTCGGATTAAAATCTGCCTTGCCATGTACAGCTAGTTATTAATATTTTGGTAAAAACAGTCTATCCTCTTCAAAACTCTGACAAGAAGCCACAGATAATTAGCAAGAATAGGTAATAAAATGTATTCTTAAGTGAAAAATCCATCCCAGGGAAGCAGTAGCAACAAAGACACTATTCCTTAAGGAAAAGTTTTTTGGGTAAGCTATGAAGCAGGGGATGAAAACAAAGACAAGCAGACTACATTCAGTCTTTGCTAGAAGAAATGAAAAGCATTCTTTTCCTAGTAAGGAGAGAGGTATTAGAGTACTAAGTGCTCAAATTTTAGAAGAAAAGATTAAAAGGGCAAATAAAATCAGAACACCCTAATAAGGGCTATAAATGGCCAAGAGGTGAAAATAAACTGAGGTAAAACCTAGAGCCATGTTGTCCAATATGGTAGCCACTAGCCACAAGTCGCTGTTGAAATTTGTTAAAACAAAATTTAAAATTCAGTTCCTTGGTCACACTTGCCTTATTTCAAGTGCTCAGTGGACACATGTAGCTAGTGGCTACTTTCTTGAGTCAGACAGTATTGATACAGAACACTTTCATGACTGCAGGAAATTCTACTGGACAGCAGGGTAAGGGAAGAAGACTGACTGCCCTGGGGTCTGAAAAAAGAATAACTAAGAAGACATTTGTCCTACAGCGTTAGGACTTTACTGAGGGATCAGGCAGATTTACCTTTCCTTTTCCACCTGTTCTTTTTTCCTTCCTTGTTGCTGCCACCGTCACTGCTGCTGCTGCTGTGCTCTGAACTCTGGGAATCGGACTGACCATCACTGCTTTCTTCTGAACCTTCTGATAGTTCTTTTACCCCATCCGGCACATCTTTCTGAAAATGTAGGCATCCAATTAGGATTAGTCATTACCAATTCAGCAAACAGAAATTAAGTCTCTGATATGCATCGCAGCAACATAACTGTGCAGATTAATTTAGTATTATAGGACTTAACACCAGAATCACCAGTATTTTCTGAATCCCTGTCATCTCTCTTCTTTGGGTCAAATTAACAATCGTATGCAGGCACAACACAGAGACTTAAATTAGACAAAAACTGGTATAAGTCAGGTAAATTATTATATGTTCAGGATTTTAAAACTAATAAAAATTTTGTAAACTGCCTGTACATCCATCATCCATATAATATGTATGTGTGCATATTAATACCATTCTCTATTACAAATTAAATTAAGAATATGGGTAGCAAAAGATAGTCCATGAATATAACTGGTTTACCTAATGTTGGTTAGCAACTAGCAAGAGTCAAATACAAAAAAAAAGTATTTTTTGTAAAATCACATGATTCTTTGGTATCTACACTAGATTGTGAGAATGTCAGTCTGAAAGGATACCTGTGTCAGCAAATTATGTGAGAAGTGTAATAAGACAGTTGTAAGATAAAGAACTAGGAAATTAAAACTTTCTGGGTTTGAATTCTGGCTTTATCGTCTCCTAACTTGGTGCAGACTTCAGCAAAGTCTTAACCTCTCATGCTTCAGTTTCCCTGTCTTTAAGATAGGCATTAAAGGACCGACCTTAAAGGATCACTCTGAAATTGAGTTAATAAATGGAAAATAGGGTCTGGCATATGATAAGAGCTCAGTAAATATTAGATACTATGTATTTATATAGTACATAAAAATATACACATATAAATAACATTATTTCTAAGCTATAAATTGTAGATGGTTCTTTTTGCTCTTGATATATTTTTATTTTCCCAAATAAATTATTTTTCAATTAAGATACAAAAAATTCTGGCATAGGACCCCCCTACCTGCAACTGGGACTCATACCACAGGCAAACAGTAATTCTGATCTAGTAAAGAACTGCTCTTTTCCACTTATGTTTATACCCTAGTGTCATTTCTTATGCTATGCACTTTATTAAAATATACACATCATGTTTTTATATTCTTTCCTTCAAAATGCAGGACATTTTATAGAGTTAGTTGTCAGTCACACCTCTTGACCTGCGGTTTCAACAAGTACTTTAAATACAAATATAACTTCCTATCTTAACCTTGTGATCCCTCCAGGATCAAGTGCTCATGCCACAAATTTTGGAATCATTTTATCCCTTCATTTACCCACTCCATATAGTATATATTTTATTTCTCTAATGTCTTTTTCCTCCATCGCTTTTACTACTTCTGTAATTCATGCCAATTATCTTTTCACACAACCATAGCTATTCTCCTAAACACTCGTAATCATTCTCCCCGCGTCCCCCGCACTCGTCAGTCGGGTTTTTAAAAGCCCCAAAGTCTGGTGTTTACCTAACATGTATCCCACCCCAACTCCTTATCACACCAGCCCATAGATAGATTATGGTCTAACCATTCCAATTTACTCTATTTTCAAATCCATTCTATCTGTGCCTTTGCTTAAGCTCTCTCCTTGTCCTGGAAGACCCTCTTCACATTACTTACTGCCAAGGTTCACCTCGAATCTTACAAGTTTAAAACAACTGAAACAGCACTGGCTGGCTGTTGTGGCTCATTTGGTTAGAGCATCATCCCATAACCGAAAGGCTGCAGATTTGATTCCTAGTCAGCGCATGTGCCCAGGTTGTGGGACTGATCCCTGGTCCAGGCACATATGGGAGGCAACCAATCAATGTTTCTCTCTCACATCAATGGCTCTCTCTCCCCCTTCCTTTCTTTCTTTCTAAAAGCAATGAAAAAAAAATGTCCTCGGGTGAAAATTAAAAAGAAAAAACAAAAACTTTTTGGATCCCTTTATTTAAAATTAATCTTTCTCTATATATCACAGTACTTTATAGTACAATACTTTAACATCAAAGTAAGTTTTGTCAATGTGCAATTATTTCAATAATTATGTGGCCTTCAAGAGCCCAGGAGCCACAGTTTATCCTTCTTTATAGCCTCACACAGGAGTGTCCAACATGGGCTGCATGCGGCCCAACACAAAATCATAAATTTACTTAAAACCTTGCTTTTCCCTTTTTTTTTTTTTTAATGTATTTATTTTTAGGCAGGGGGGAAAGGAGAGAGATAGGGACAGAAACATCAGTGCGCGGTTGCCTCTCATACATCTCCTGCTGGGAACCTGGCCTGCAACCCAGGCATGTGCCTTGACTGGGAACAGAACCAGCGACCCTTTGGTTCACAGGTTGGTGCTCAATCTGCTGAGCCACACCAACCAGGTCCTCATCAGTTTTCATTTGTGTTTCTATTTAATGTGTGGCCCAAGAAAAATCTTCTTCCAATGTGGTTCAGAGGTCCCAAAAGGTTGGACACCCCTGACAGTGTCCAGCATAGAGTATGTATTTAATAAATGTTATTACCAATACACAAAGTCTAAAACAGCTCAAGCTTAAAAGAAATGAAGAAATCTCCATGTAGGAATACAGCCCTGTAATCCCAGGAAGTTCAACAAAGTGTATAAGAAGGAGATAGGACAGGTAAATGAGATCTTTTTAATATGAGTGGGTTACATACAACCACTGAGCACAGTGATGACTACAGCTCAAAACTAAAAAGGTAAGAGGGGACAGAGTCCCACATAAGTATGGTCGTAGTCATACATGCTAAGCATTAATTCTCCTGCTCATAAATTTCCTTTGGGACACAATACCTCTTCTCAATTCATCTATCTGGCTTGGGCAGGCCTAACATCAACCTCACATCAAGGGTTGAACCTAATCATGAACCTTAGAGTAGCCAAAAAGATCAATACATTTGGCAACAATGGTCGTTCAGGTATAGACATATGGGCCAAGCCAAACTAATCCAAATCAAAACTAACTGAAGGCTCCTGCTTTAGTTCCTCAGACTCCTTCCTCTCCAGACTCACAGTGTACGGGGTGGCGGTTAGGAGTTAAGTCATGTACAATGAGGAGAGAGTCTGCCTGAGAACAAAGCCAGAAGAAAGTGGAGAGACCTGCTAACATTCCCATTATCAACTGTTACCAAACCCTGATAACATCATTTGAGCTTCTGAATCAAGGCTGAGTTTCTCTGGAATTTTCAGTTATCTGAACTAATAAATTCTGTTTTAGCCCTGGCTGGTGGCTCAGTGGATTGAGGGCCAGCCTAAAAACCAAAGGGTTGCCAGTTCCAATCCCAGTCAGGACACATGCCTGGGTTGCAGGCCAGGTCCCCAGTGGGAAACGAGCAGTGGGCAGCACACACTGATGTTTCTCTCCCTCTAAAAATAAATAAATAAATAAGATCTTTTTAAAAAACTGTTTACTCAAGCTCATTTGTGTTGGTTTTCCTGTTTGTAAGTGAAAGGACCCTGATAAGTAAAGGTCCCCTCTCAGTGTAGGAAACTAAAAATCTACCCCTGCTACGGTAGAAAGAACATGGGCTTGGGAATTCAGTCAGATCTGGGTTCTGATTCTGATACTACCTGGCCAATTAGGCAAGAAAATCAAATCTTCTGAACTTCGGCTTTATCCATTATAAAAAGGGAACAATGACTGTTAACTGTGAATTGTAATGGAAAATTAAATGGGAGGGTATATAAAGAATCAAGGCTGTAAGTTCCACCATAACACTCATTATCATTCAAATGTTGTGAGGCCCTTGAAAAAAAGTTACTGAAAGTCACTTTCATTTCATCATTTTAAGATCGTATTAGCATAAACGATAAAAAATAAATTTACTTCTAGTCTCTGATCTCCCTACAGATGGTTACAGATTAGTCAGGAATGAAAATATTAGTTTTTCCTGAAAATATGCTCTTCAAGAACACTGTCCTCTATGATACAAACATTACTTATATGTAGTCACTTCATGGCTTACTTTTTAAATGACTTCCTAACCAAAATATTTACCTTCAAAGTATATACTCCCATTCTACCTGGAACCTTATAGAAGATGCCCTCTTCACCTCGGGAGTTTGTGTGCAGCATTGCATTCAGGCATGCAAGAGGGGAAGTCCCACTGCAAAAACAAACAAAAGAAAAAAAATGATTAGTTTCTGTCTCTGAATATCCAATGTAACAGTAACTTAAGATAAAATTAACTGATCAACACTCAAGTGACATAAACACATTTCGTAAACTATTAAAAGTCTATCAATTTACAGAGAGGCTGCCACAGAGAAAATGGATATAGAATTCATTTTCATGTACCTAAAGAAAAATGATTTAATTTTCTTAATCATCATTCAGTATCTAACACTGAAGCCAAGAAAAACTTATCTCACAAAAGTATCACAAATATAATGTGAAAAGATTCTATTTCACTTAAAATTTTGTCAATTATACCTCAGTAAAGCTGAATTTTTTTTAAAAGACACTTTCATTTAGAAGAAGCTTTAAATGTCCAGGAGATAGAGGAGAAAAGAACACACACAGGTTCAAATAAAGAGTATTAAGCTCCTTGACTACTGCTGCACCAGACTAAATCTGAGTTGTGAAACAAACACATTTCTAAGTCTCTTGTATTGGGGGGCGGGGGGGACGGGGGACGGGGGATGGGGGACACGCGGGCGGCGGCAATATAATTGACATATAGTTGCAGGTGTACAACACGAGTCCATATTTGTATATATTGTGCTGAGCTCTTATATTTAGACATATTACAAGATCACTTAAAAGTAGGTTTTGGAATAGTTATTCATCTTCTATCTAACAACCCAAGTAAATGTTTACTAATTATAACACATTTGTTACCATATTTTGAGTTTTACATACATAATTATCTGTAAAAATGTATTACTTTCCTAATTGTAATCAGGTGTTTCCTCTTGTACTTAATAAAATAAAGCTACAACAAGAGGCTACTAGGTATCTTGGATATAACTAGGTAATAGCTCTCTGTGGCGCAGAGCAGGGCCATGGGTCCATTGTCTTTTGATACTCTGAATGTGCTGAGGATCAAAAACTAGAAAGAAGCCCTGGCTAGTGTGGCTCAGTGGACTGAACGCGGGCCTGAGAACCCTGAGAACCGAACGGTCACCGGTTCAATTCCCAGTCAGGGCGCATGCCTTAGTTGTGGGCTGGGTCCTGGGAATGTGTAATAGGCAACTGATCGTTGTATCCCTCACACATCGACGTTTCTCTCCTTCTCTCTCTTCTTCCCTCCCCCCCAAAAATAAATAAATAAAATCTTTTAAAAATTGAAAGATGGAGTACAACAAAGAAAATAAAGAAAAACCTTTTGCTGAAGAAAGCTGAGTGTCTCCAGGTTGACTATTTCATAGTTATGTTTCTCTAATTTGGTTATTTCCATGTTAAAAATATATATAATTCTAGTCAGAATTCCAAAATGTGTATCAAATAAACATATAAAAATTACCAAGAAATTTCTGGAACAAAAATAATAGGAGAACTGCTTAAGAAGATATTAAAAAATGCTGTAAGCCATTATTATTGAAGCGATTTACTTCTGGGACAGCATAAATAGGCAAATGAACACTCTTACAGACTGCTGGTGAGACAAAAGAGAAAATGCAGAAACAGATCGTAATAAATGTAAAAGGTCCTATTTCTGTGTAGTGGGAAGAATACAGACGGCATCATGATGTGGTCACTTCGGGTCATCTGTTCCCTCTTCTTCTGCAGACAGTACCTAAAATTTCCTGTGAAACATTATCCCTCCCACCCTAATGTGGTTGAGATGGAATTCCATACTCATCACAGGTGTAAACCCAAACTGTTAATCTAGCATTTCCTGGCAAAAAAGGCCAGTAAGCATTTCTGTGTGCAACCCACTCCCCACCCGGACAGTGACAGATTCAAGAACAGACATGTGACTTAATCCAGGCCAACATCCAAAGTCGTTTTCCTCTTTTTTAAGGCATTTGGGAGGAGAAACTCTTTCCAGGGAAGCTTCAGAAAGATACCCTTTGTCTTCCCCTGAAGTAGTATGAAGAAGTAATGCCTAAACCTCTCATAATCATGTGACCATAAGGAATCACCTGGAATTGGGGTGGAACAACACACAAGACAGAAGAAGACCTAGGAAGGGGTTACAGAAAATATTTCAACACCTAGAAGGCAGAACTAAGAAAGAGGAAAACAATCTTTTTTTTTTTTAATAAAGCAGTGTTACTTTTGCACTGTACCAAGCCTTGCCTTGAACCAATCTTACCTTTGGAATTTTGTTGAGGTTTTAAGTCACAAGAACTGAGAGTCCTAAATAAAATAATTTATTTAATAAGTAGTGTTGGCTATCATGTTGTACATCTGGGAAAAATAATCCTCACAATATATACAAAAACATTCCAAATGGATTAAAGGTCAAAATATAAAAAGTAAAAGGTATTAAAAGAAAGTAGTATAACCTACAGGATACACAGAAACCTTTCTACAGAAGACAGGACACCTAAAAACCACAGAAAAGAAACATACTGGCTAAATAAAAATAAAAACAAAAACTTCTATACAGGGCCTTGACTGGGGCACTCAGTGGGCTGCGCATCAACCCACAGACTGAAAGGTTACAGGCCAGGTCCCAGGTTGGGAGCATGCGAGGGGCAACCTATCTCTTTGGAGTACCTAAAATTTCCTGTGAAACATTATCCCTCCTTTGGAGAAAGACACATGGATATTTCTCTCCCGCTTTCTCCCTCCTTTCCCCTCTCTCTGAAAGTAAATAAATTAGATCTTTCTAAAAATTTCTATACAGGAAAAAAAATACAACCAACGAAACTATAGAAAGTATACAAAGCTGAAATGTGTAACTGCAAAACAAATGGCAGACAAAAAATTAATAGACCTAAGAGAGTTTCTTTTAGGAAAACACAGCAAAGCAGGAAAACATAGATAAATAGGAACAACTGATCATAAAACATGCAATGTAAATGGCCAACAGATAACATGGAAAGAAGACCAAACTTAATAGTGATCAAAGGAAAACAAATTAAATTGAGATACCACTGGTCAAGCAAATTAAATCGAGACACCATTGGTCAGACTTGAAGAAATCAAATGAATTCAAGTCTTAGTTAGCAGTATTGTACTATATTTATATAAGGTATTACCACTAAGAGAAACTGGGTGAGGTATACATGACACTATTTTTATTATTTCACATGAGCCCATTGTTACTGTAAAATGAAAAAAACAAAAGAATCCATAAAATCCATTGCTGGTAAGGTTATGGGCACTCTGTATTATAGGTGGTTGACGGGACTGGAGATATACATAAGAATTAACTACAGTAATGTTAAAATGTCAAGGGACTGAAAATGACCTCAAAGTCCATTAATAAGGGAATGCTGACAATATTTTAGTAAAGTAACCAACAGGATATAAATAACAGCTGCATTAACAGTAAAAGGAGTGTTCAATTCCAGAAAGCATTGTTTTGCCCTCACAACAATTCTTTTTTGAGTCAGACAAATTATACAATTTTTACAAAAACAAAAATCTAATTTATACAGCTGTTAGATAAAATGTTCATGATCATGAAATTAATAAACGGTGAAGCCAAGATTTCAGTAAGAAGAAAACAAAAGCATAACAGGGAAAGACTGCTTAAAAAGAACATATAACCAAGTGAAAAGACATTATAATCTGATAAAAGTTTGACCCAACTAATGGTATTCAATTTCAGTATTAAGTACCTACCCTGTTTATGCCAATAAACTAGGAACTGTGGCTCTAAAAAAGAAAGTTTTCTTAGCTTAGAATCTAAAAGGGAAGAAAGACAAGGAAATAACCACAGTACACTGTAATTTAATCAATGCGATTAATACAGACACGGACCGAAAACACTGAAGACCAAATGTTTCTGATAAAAAAATCTTTTGGATTTTAGAAAGGTAACTCAGTATGCCATATGTGATGTAATACCGCTAGGGCGATTGAGGGCAGCACCCCTTAACCAGATAGTAAAACATTAATATTCACATTAAGTGGGATAAACAAAGATTGCATACAGTTTCATGTCAGTTCAAGAGTTGCAAATTGAGTTTCAGTAACAAATGTATGGAAAAAAACTTTTTCAAGCATTCTGAATTCAGGAATTATGGATTAGAGACTGCAAACCTCTTTATATAAAGTGCTTTGTGTTAGAGAGAAACAAACAAATAAGGTCCAGGGTTCAGTACCTAGAACCACACCAAACAAACAAAAAACTCAAAATACCACCCACCCAAAAATGAAAATATATGGCAAACACATCTGGTGAAAAGATGTGGTAAAGGAGATACAGACACCATCGTAATTTTATTCTTTGCAAACCTGGGTATAATTTTCCTTTAAAAAAAAAGATCTTATTCATTTATCTTTAGAGAGACACAGGGAGAAAGAGAGGGAAAGAAACAGCAGTAAGAGAAGTATCAATCGGCTGGCTCTCACATGCCCCCAACCAGGCATGTGCCCTGACAGTGAATGGAACAGCAACCTTTCAGTTCACAGGGTATCACTCAATCCATTGAGCTACACCAGCCACAGCTAATTTTCCTTTGAAGAAAATAAAGTTTTGAAAAGCCAAAATGGGATACAGAACACTGTACCGTTTAAGAAAAAAATTCAGATTTTATTTCAGGAAAATATTAATATAAAAAGTCAGAGAATCCTGGCAGAGTTTAATTTCGTAAATTATGAAGCAATGACAGAGAGGTAAAACAGACACTACCATAATGGCAGGAATATACCTTCAAGGAAAGTTAACTACAGAATTATATAATAAAAATAAATTTATGATATAAATAAAAATAACTGAATAACTGGAAAAATTAAGTGTTATATGCATGGGTGATAAACCCCTGGTACTGATTACATAGTTATCGTGAGACAATGCAGCTTCTAATTTTCCATGCTCAAGAGATCAGAGTCAGGGTAGGGGGGACTGTTTGTTGATTTTTTTTTTTTAAGGAAAGAAACAAGTGCAACTAAAACTTATCCTAAATACATAGCATTTACAACTACATACATAGTAACAAAAACATTTTAATTTAGTATGTGACTCCACTGTGGGCCAGCCAGATT